CTACTCAAAATAAATTGAAGCATTGAAAGCACACAAACATTTTTTATTCTTGAATTATTTTTTTTTTTTTTATTAGTATTAATGATATTTGGACTTTTTCAGTCGTGGTATATCTGTCTTTCTTTTTCTTTCAGTCGACACTGAAGAAAATTGAAGTTAAAAGAAAAATTTGTTTCAATATACTCCGTTGGTCGCAATCGTTAAGGCGTTTAGAAATTTGAATTAGGCTGTGAGTCATGGGTTCTAATCCCACCGAAGGTTGAAATTTTTTAATATGTTAGAGCAAGTTTATTACACCAAAAAAAATCTTACTGTAAGGTCTAAAATTAAATTACAAATTTTTATTTACATAGTAATAATTATTTAGAAAAATAAAACACACAGAAAATTAAAAGGCATTAAAATAAGCTGCAACGCTTATTATTTTAATCTAATTTTGATTATTTTAATCCATTTTTGTATTAAAATTGGATTAAAATAATAAGCGTTGCAGCTTATTTTAATGCCTTTTAATTTTCTGTGCAAAGAAAAATTGAATACTAAGTTTAGTACAATCTTAAAACGTTCGGTCTGACTGTAAATTTCCTTTACTACTAACAACAGAATAAAAAGATCTTTTTTTTCATTTTAAAGATGGATTTATTTTTAATTATACACTAATTTTTATTACATTATATATTAACCCCATTAGAAGCACAGTATAAGATAGTGCGTGTAAATTTATCATCAGTGAAATTGCGAAAAGCAGTGTAACGATAATTATTTCACATATAATGACGATTTGATCCTTGAGTGTTATTATTTGTTTAACGTGTTTAAAAAAAAATGGGTGTTAAAGTCGGAGGCAGCGAGGGAAATGAGTACGTTGATTTCACATGAAACGCCCCACATGCTTTATTAGTCAGTCCCTTTTTGTTTTTTGCGAAAGAGACACAACGGACTTCGTCGGCGGCGCGGTGGCATATAGGCTTATCGCTTCGTTGCGTAATGAGAGATTTTTATCGTGGTAACAGGGATAGGGCGGGGCTGACTTTGCTTCTGCATTATCAGCCCACTTTTACCTGACGGATTACTCCGTAAAAACATATATACACACAGTGCGTATGTGTTCTGGAACGAAGAACACACGACATTTGCTTCTTTATGTTCGCCCTTTGCCAAGCATTTCTCTCGTTTATATATATATATATATATATATATATATATATATATATATATTATTGCATTTTAATTTTTGCGCGGGGGTTTCCAACTAATTTTTTTCACTATTTGTTTCTTTAAGATACACACATAATCTCGGAACTATATTTCATTTTTCTTAATTACCTTTTAGATAGAAAAAAACAACCATACAATACTATCCTGATTAAGATGTTCCCTAAGGGGTTTTTCTCGCTATTTCATGCACTTGAGAAATAATTTTTTACATTTCCATTTTTTATCTTCCAAAGTAATCTTGAGTCTTATTTCAAGAGAGGAAAGTAAAATTAATTTTTTTATTTTGTAAAAAAAAATAAATAGAAAAATGGTTGAAAAAGTTGAAGCATAGGTGAGGGAATCAGATCATTAATCATCGTTCGATCGTGTAACTATGGGATAATAACTAAATTAGCCATTCACTTTACTAGTTTTAAGTAACCTATATTGTGGTTAAGATTTTTTTTTTTTTATGTTAGAGTGAGACATAAACGCAAGTCATTCCGAGGAAGGAAGAGCCCTCTATAAGAAAAGGGAGAAAGAACGTGAGCGGCTTCGTGCCTTTACAAATCAGCCAAGTCATTATTTGCACTCAAGTGTCACATCTCTATAAAGCCTAAGTGCAAATGATCGATTAGAATTAAACGCGCCTTTGTGTACCTCTCGCGCGTCGCGATCACTTTCCTCGATAAAATATAAATGTAACTTTTGTTTATTCATTATTCACGTGAAAATTTATTGCTTTTTATGAGCAATTTTTTATCAATGTGTATATTTTTTATATTATATAAACTTTAGGGAAGAATTGATAATATTTTTAGTGACTTTTAATATAATGCTTTTTGAATTAACTTGATTTTTAAGAAAAATTTTCTTTAAGATTCGGTTTCTTATTTTCATATTTTCAGTTTATAAAGAATACAGTAAAAAGAATGTTTTATCTTATAAGACAGAAAAAAAGTCTTGTTTTAAAATTAAAAATTGCTACAATTCAGTTTCAAGTGAAACTAAATTTTCAGCGAAATTTTATTTTTGTTCAATTCTCAGTTTTTTACTTTCAGCCAATGAGGTGTTTAATTTATTTACTGCAATTCAGTTATAATTCAGTAAAATATTTACTTTAAATATTTCTTTTTTTAGTTTTTATCATTGAAATTAAATTTAAGAGAACTTGTTCTTAAAAATTAGTTTCGATTCACTTAAATTATACTGGATGTTAGCAAAGTATTTTCTTTAAATTAAGTATATCACAGAAAAAACAAAATTTGACTCCAATCATAAAACTAAAATGACTTAATGTCAGCTAATTTTTTGGCTAAAAATAAATTTCAGTCCATATCTAGACTTAAAATTATGCTATGAAAGCTAAAATTAATTCGAAAATCAATTTTATTTGGTTTCAGTTTGGTTGAAATCGCAAAATTTACTTTCTATAATTGACTGAAAATAAGGAACTAAATAAATTAATCAAAGACGACTTTTTTTCTGAAATTCAGTAAAAATGGTCATAAAAATAAATTAATACTTCTTAAATTCAATACATTCGAAGCAATGATCAAAAAAAAAGGAAACGAAAATTTCAATATAAAAATTATTCAATTGAAAATAGGAATTCTTTTCTCCCTTTAAATTATTATTATTCGTTTTATTCTGTGATGTTTCCAAGGTATAAAAAAACACGCTTATTAAAAATAAAGAAGGTTGCATAAATAAAATCGACTAAAGCATTTTAAAAAAAATGTTTATGAACAGATGTTATCATTAATTTTTGCATAGATAGGGAATCGGTTGACTTTTTTTCATACAGCAGTTCGAATAAAAACAATTATTGATAGTAACTGTCATTTTGAAGAGGAAAGGAGGTATAATTAGTGTATATAGATAAATGTTCACTGATGGTGAGGCGAAGATTAAGAGATCAAAATGTAAAAGCAGAGGGAGCCTTGTTTTTAATTGTTGTCCTTGAGAACAGGAAAAGGAGTGGAAAGTGTAAAATCGATTGCTGGGGGCACTTTTCTCATATATATATATATTTTATATGGAGGACTTAAATATCGCGTGATTTCTTTCACCGGAGAAACTCGTTGAATGATTTTGACTTTGTTTCTCTCCGGGCAAAAATTGTAATAATACAAGAGGGGGAAAGTCAAGATAAAAAGATATAAGAAAGCCACTAGGTGGGGTCGACGGCCACGTGCCAAACAGGCCGCAATGACCGGTGACACGCCAACGATCGCGATTAGTCTTTCTTTTCCCTTCGATGGACTTCCTGCTATTTCCAAACGATCTGTGATGATAGAAACCCCACCCCCCCCCCGTAAACAATATTTTATTGACCCATAGACGGTGTATATAAATTACATAAAAACAATAAAATAAAATTTAATTTCTACATTTCAGAAATTAAAATAAAAAATATTTTCATTTTTGATTATATTATTTTTATTATATTATATTATATTTGAGTTAAATAAACGTATATATATTTGTCCTATAGCTTATTTATTTGGCGTGAATAAAAATGTTATTTGTCATAAATAAACTTTTTCTTTGGCACAAATATATAATTTCTCTGATAAGGATTTTTAAATTTTATTTTCTATATTTTATGAGGGGAATTTTTTTTTTCAATTTTCTTTTTTACTTTTTTGGTGTGTTATAATAATTCTTTATAATAATTAATTAGGAAATTAAATGTATACCCTATTATAATATTAAAAGGCGGAACTAATTTTATTTTTTTGAGTGCGTGAGCACAGAACATTTTGCTTGAAATTAATTTTTTGAAAAAATATATTATTAATATATTGCGCATATAAATCAGCGTGTATGTTGTATATTTATATATGTATAAGTCGGTGCGATCAAACTTTGATATGACGACGAATCGTCGGTTTCTGCGCGCGACATATGTGACAGGATGTGAGCGACACTTCCTCTCTTGGGGCCCCTATAAGAAGGGCCGATCCGTTGCAGTTTCATATATATATATACGCACCTGCCTCATATTATTTAATATGCATGCTGTAATTAGAACTTACAAGATCACCGCGCCACTAAATAATACCAATGTATTGCAATCTAAAACGTGTGAGAAAAAGAAAATACGCAAATAATAAAATTAATTTTTTAAAAAAATATTTTTTTTTATTTTGTTAAATATTTAAAATTTCGTAAATTTCTCCACTATTTTTTGTGGGTGAATTTCAGTGTAATTTATGAGTACACTTGAAAATGATTTCTTATCATAAAAATCTAACACAGACGCAAACTAGTCTTATAATTCTTAAGAAAGTATTGGTTTCCTAAAGCTGGCTAGTCGCCAACATTGAAATTTAATCCTGGTATGGTTAATAGGATCCGCAAGAAAAAGACCCTTCTCCTTGAAAGGGTTGAAAATATTGATTTCATTCTCTTAAGTAATTTGCATATGTAAAAATATATTTCTCCGAATGTACGCGCGATACGCGATAATAGTCAGCGAAAAAAAAAATGTAAACAAAATATTAGTGACATAATTTACGTTCAAAAATAATTATTGCAAAAAATTGCTTTCTTTAAACTTTTTTTTTTAGAAAATTTAAATTAAAAATTTACTTAAAATTAGTTAATTTGTTATTAGATTACATCAACAATTTTTTGTCTTAAAATTTTATTCTCTACTTTAAATTCAGTTTTTTACATATTTTTTATAATTATATGTGTGTTGATGACAATTTTTTTTTTTTGAGAGAGAGAGAGAAATAATGAGTTTTTAATTTGAGAAGCAGTCGATTTATTTCAAGTTTGTAAATTTGTTACAGTGGTAATGCATAAAGACAAGGAGGAGAACTCTCACCATGATTCGCATTATCGAGCAAGAGAATTGGCAGCGCTCGCTGCTTATGACCATCATCACCTCGACGGTGAAATGTTCCTTCAGGTTAGTAAATCTCTCTTCGCTATAATAAACCAGAAAATATTTTTTTTTTACTCCGCTATATATATACTTTATTAATCTTTGCAAATAATAAATATAACTGATGAGTTGAAAATTGAATCGATAAATTATCACGAAATCAAGAGAGTACTTCATATAAATTTGCCAACTATATATATTTATGATTTTATTAATTGGGTTTCTATAAATTCATCACAGATTGAAAATGCGACGAAATAATTCTGGATAATTTTACATTTAAAAAAAAAATGATAAAAATTATTTTTATTAAAAAAATACAATATACAAAAATAATAAAACAACAATAAAAATAAAATAATATAAAAAGTAGTAAAAGTAAATAATTATTTAAGTTGCATAATTTTTGCTTTCGGTTTGGTAATATTTTGAGGGTAAATATCTTTTCTTTAAAAGAATATTTTTTATTAAAATAAACAATTTTTGATAGGACGTTAATTTTTTTTTTTTGTAATAATTAATGAAGTTGATGAAATAGAGAGGGAAAGAAAATTGTGAGTTGATTTTTATGGTCAATGTGTATAATTCACAAGCCCTTTTGTTTCGCACTAATGATTTTATAATAAGCTCTCAGCTGTTTTCCTAATTTCAAAAAGGGAAGGACTTTTTTTACCATTCTGAGGTTATTGGCCCTATATATGATGTTTCATATATATATATACTTTAGTTCGTCGGAGCCACGCTTCCTTTGATCGTCATTTAATCCGCCTTCTTTTGCGCGGATTCGATAATATATAGTAATAATCGCTATATACGCGAGAGCTTTCAAGTATAAAGTTAAATTTGCCCCGATTACCCACTCTGCCGTAAATATGTTTCAGTAATTATGTGCGCACATGCACCTTTCATGTGAAAATTTTGATCCTAATCATTTTCTCCAAGGTTTCGCAATATTTAGGCCGATTATTATATTGATATATGTGGAGTATACATAAATTCTCATGCGCGGAAAAAAAACTAGGTAAATCAAATTCATCGATAAATATACTTTTTCTAGGCTAACGTGGTAGTTATTAAAATTTAAATAAAAAAATTTTTTTTTTATAAAATTTGTTTTTCAAAAAAAAAAAAAAATTAATTTTGATTTTCTATGTTTATTGGTTTTAGAATTAAAGTTTTATTTTCTCATTTGAAGCAATTGTCAGAGATTGAATTTCCTTTTGTTTGTTGATTTGATGCAAAAGGTGTGTTTTTATAATAGAAAGAGAAAAAGGTGTGAACGAAGGAATATATAAGTGAGAATCGATTGAGGTGTATTTAGTGACGTAGTGAAATTAGTGAGCACGGCCAAAGCAAGTTTGCCACCAAGTTGTTCTCGTGCTTTAGGATCTTATACTTGTTGCTGATGATTGCATGTCTATGTTCCGCTGGTCGTGCATTCAACGTGCTTCCGCGTTGATCGTTTTGTGCGCGTACGTTGCTACTTTAATCTTCCCGCCATCTCCAGGACCGACACGCTATTTTTTAACCTTGAACATGACATCCTACTTCCGATTCAATCCTTTTCTCATTTGGATTTATACGTGTCCCACTATGAATTTAATACTACTTCTTTAGGTTAGTAAAAATATTTTCATTTCCTTGAAAAAAAATATTGACACAAAAAATAGTAGTTCTATTTGTTAATTTTTTGGAATATAAAAATGTCAAATTAGTCTGACTGAAACTGACATTTACTACTGTTATACAATATTAACAAGAATTAAGTCTGTCTGACGGAAAATTAATTTTAGATTACTAAATTTGGAATAATTAAGCTGAATATTTTGACTGAAACTCACTGTTACTACTAATAATTAAATTACAAAAAAGTGTTGGACATTCTCTTACCACTGAAACTAGAATATCAGTAAAATTTTCACGATTCTGTCTGACAAAAACTTATCTTTACTACTGATTTTAAAATTACTTTTCAAATTTTGTCTGAAAAAATTAGAAGAATTAAATATATTTTATCTGAACCATTTTTTTTTAATATTAATTTTGAAGAATTTGGAAAATATTTGTCTGACGAAAACTGACTTTTACTACTCATACAATATTTACATTATAAAATTGGACTAAAACACACTTATTCTACTAATACTAAATTTGATTTACATTTTTGTCTGACAAAAATTTGCTTTTACTACTGATTTGAAAATTACGAATTTTGAAATTCTTTGTCTGACTAAAACTGCCTTATACCATTGATTTATTTATTTTCATGTACACGGGCAGTGCTTAATAAAAAACTATCTCACTTTACCGCTTTAAAATTACAATAATTTCAAAAATGTCTTTTCTGTAAGCAACCTTTATCATTTATAATATAACAATTTCAAGAATTAGAAAAAGTATTTGAAACGGAAACAAAATAAAACTAATTTTTATTCCTATTGGAAAAATTAAATAGAAATACCAAATTTACAAGAATTCAAATAGTCTGACTAAAATAAAATTTTTCTACTGTTATTAAAATTATCAGAAAAATTTAGATATACCCCTAATAATTCTAGGGAAAATTGTTACTGTAATTCTAAAAAAATATTCCTTGAGAATATTGGCAAATTTTACTAAGTAATATCAAAGTAACTTCCATACCTATATAAAAGCCTATAATATTCCATTTGATCGCATCAAAGAGATATATTTAATCATTACGATGGGTATAATTGACCCGAATATTAAGAATTAATATCATTCTGCCTCAACCCTTTCATCAAACATGTTCGCGATACGATGGGATCATTAGTTAATTCTTACACAAAGATCATTTGCAATTCATATTCATGGTAATTGATGTTATTTGCTGCAATTATATATATCTTAGGGGTCATTAAACCCCCTCAACTTGTGTCATTTTATAAAACTTTGAAAATTCTATAATATATAGGTTTCTCTCTTCAATTTTAATATTATTTTATATGTATTTATATTAGAATTATTCTTATAAACTGATATTTAAATTTTAAATACTATAATACACTAAAAAAAATGTATTTAGTTCAAATAATCAGGATATACAAAAATTTGTATGAAACAACCAAACTTTTGGTTGAATCAACTGAAAGTTTATTTAATTCAATTATATTCTCTCTTGATTCAAAAAATTTATTACAATAAGCCAAACGTTTATTTATATGCTGAAAAAATGTCATTTATTTAAAATAAAATCGGTTACTTGAGTATTATCAAATAAATATTTATTTAAACCAAATTAATTTTAAATACCATTTAATTCACGAAAATAATAATAATTTTATATAATAATATAAATATGTATAAATATTATTTATTTGATAATAGTTATTAAGTAACCGATTATTTGAGTCAAATAATTTTTTTTTCTGTGGCATCAAAAAATATTTGTTTGAATCAAATGAATCTTGTTTGATGTAACCAAAAAATTGTATATATTTGATTCAAACAAAACTTTTTTCTGATTGTACTTGACTATTATCAAATAATATGTACTTGAACCTAATAATTTTTATCAGAATTAAATAAATTTGAAGTAATTTCTCTATTAGAAATAAATACCACTTAATTGACTCAAATAATTATTTGATACGAATAAATATTTACGTGAAGTAACCGATTATTTGAATGAAATAAATTTTTTATTCAATTCTCCCTTCGTATGTCATATATGTGTTTACATAAGAGTTATTCTTATAAACTAATACTTGTCATGTAAAATTGCAACTTTGTCATTAGAGAAAAAAAAAGGTAAACTTTTTTTCTAAAGATCTATAATAGTGGAATAAAGAGTAATACATATTCGTGAAGGTTCGACCAATGGATGGGTAGCATTCATGTGGCCTGGGATAATAAGGGGTAGTTTGGCAATGTCTAGGTACGCGCGTATATTATAAAGGTAAGGCGCGCATGAGAAAGGGTCGAAACCTGGTGGATATCCTGAGCTATATAAAAGGGAGGAAAGGAGCGCGCACGATCAATACGGGAAGGACTAGCGGTGCCAGACCAAGGCGAGCCCGCGTCGCCCACCCGACGACCTAACCTCGCGTATAATCATCCAAAACCCCACACGGAACCAACCTACTCTTACCTTCCAACCTCCCCTTTCTGCACTGACTCACCGTGTGCGACTGTCTATATGCTGCAGTAAAAGCGCTACTTCGCTTCCCTCTTATATGAATTTGCAAACATTCTCTCTTTCTCTCTTTCTCCTTTTATACTTATGTAGAGAATACTTTGGTATGTGTTCTACATTTTCGGAGCTTTTATTATTTCTATTTCAAGGAAGATAATATCTTTCAAATATTCTGAATAGCGATAATAAAATTTCAAGAATTGGAGAATTTTTTTGTCTGACTATTACTTTTCTTTACTACTGCTATCAAATTTTTCTCTATTACTAACTGACAAAAAGTATCTTTTTCTACTAATAGAAAAAGTATATAATTTAATTTTTTCTATCCGATTGAACTGGTTTTTACAACTGATAGGGTAAATGTCCCAATTACTGTGATGTACAACCCAAGACCGACTTTAATGATAAAATAATAAAAGTGTAAATGAAATAATGATTTAATTCTTTTTGTTAAATCACTATTAGTGTCTATTAAAATAGAAACGATACATTAAAGTTGAAGAAATAACAAATATATTATTAAAAATATTAACTTTTTTAAAAATGGCATATGCTGGTACACACAAAAAAGATGGTGTTATTTTTGTTGCGGGTAATTTTCTCCAATGCTAAAACCCATAAGATTGAACCCAGATTTAGGGTAAAATTTGTTGCGTGTTATTTTAACACCAATTCTGCTGTTAAAATAACACTTTGTTTTTCCTGTGATATTACTGCAAGTTTGCATGAATTACTGCGAATGGTGTACACCAATTACTGAAACGCTAAAAGTGTTGATTTAGAGGTTAGGTTAACTGGATAGACCACAGTAATAGCAACATGAGAAAAATATACGCATGTTCTAATTACTGTGATAGGTTCAATTGTAACTCAAATAAATAATTTGATAATAGTCAAAATATGCATCATTAGTTGATATAATATCAAATATCATTTGGAATAAGTTTTAAAGTCATTTTGAAACAGTTTTATGTTCTCAATTACAAAGTTTTACTAATTTTATAAAAATCGCAGTAATTGGCGCATCAGCAGTAATTCATACACTTACCCAAATAATGTTTCCGAGAATGTGAAATCTACTGGCTGACTGAAACTTGCCTTTACTACTAGTACACTGAAAAAATTTATTTAAGATTACTTGACTATTATTAAATAAATATTTTTTAACGTAACCACTTTTTACTACTGAAAGTAAATAATATAAGAATTTTTACCAGTTTGGCTGACAGAAACCTACTTTCACTACTGATTTCTAAATTTAAGTTCAACTTTTTTTTCTGAGTAAACAGAAAAGTATTGTCTGATTGAAACCTAATTTTACTACTGATTCCTAAAGTGAATTTTAATTGTTTCGTCCGACTGAATGAAAATTCAGAAAAGTATTGTCTGGCTAATATCCCCTTTTTACTACTGAAAGTAAATAATAATTTAAACCACTATGTCTGACTATAACTTACTTTTACTACAAGCCCCAAATGACGAAAATTTATATTTAAATAATTTTTTTTTACAAAACTTTTACTACTAATACTTAACTTATAACAATTTAGCGAAGCGATGCCTGACCGTGACCGACTTTTACTACTGAAACAAAAGTTGTATGAATTTTAATTATTTTGTCTGACGAAAACTTTATTTTACTACTGAAATTTTTTTTTGGGAAATATTATACTTTTCGATGTAAAAAAAAATTTACTATTTTTTCTTACTCTAACTGTCTTCTATTACTGATAAAATGTTTTAATGCTCTGTCTGACTAAAACTTACTTTTACTACTTACACAAAAATTATTTTTAGTACATTGTCTTATTAAAACTGATTTTTAGTACTGAAATAAAAATTCTGTCTTGGAAAAAATTTACTTTTACTACTGAAAAGTAGAAAGAATTTCTGGTCTTTGAGACTAATACACTGTTTTGTTACTTTTATAGAATTACAAAAACTACAACTACAAGAATTACAATTACTTAGTATGTTTTTTCCTGTTTGAAAGACACTTTAAAATTAGTTAATTTTAGTTTTTTAGTTTACTAATACGCTTTTAACAAAAATTAAAAATGCACTTACTAACCGAAACTTACTTTTTGGTATTTAGTAAAATGAACAAGTATTACATACATTGTCTGATTAAAACTATCTTTTACTACATGAAAAATAAAATAAATTTAACAGTTGCCTGACTATAACTTTCTTTCACTACTGATTTTAAAAGTATAAAGATTTTTACACATTTTGTCAGTCTAATACCGCCTTATACTGCAAATAAAAAAAAATAGAAAAATAAATATTCAAATAAATAACACCGTGTGCATTGAAAATCAAGTCATATTTTTTTTATCACTATATATGACGAACGTCCATCGCTCTTCGAAAGGGTGTTTAAATCGTTAATCGCGACTGTGATTGGACCTTGAAGGGGCGTGGTTTAGACTGCCAGAAGGGTGTATCAAACGAAACATGTCGCCTGATATTATTACGATAACGAAATATTTCATCGTTACAGAACATTTTTTTTTTTTTTTAATTTTTATTATAAAAGTGTGTCAAGAGGCGTGTTCTTGCAATTAAATTCACATAGGTTTTGTGTGTTAATCAAAGTCTGAAAAAAAGAAAACAAGATAGGGTAAAAGTTCATTAGGGGTCAAATGAAAATATATTTCTTTGGAATTTAATTTGATAAATAATAGAGATATGTATGGTTAGATTGATTTTTTAAGATTTTGTTTTTTTGCGGAAAAATATAAGTCATTTTGTATTCAGATTCTTTCTACATAAATAATGAATTTATGAATAAAATAATCAAGAGACTGACATAGAAAAAAAGTAGAATAGTCATTGTGTCTTATTCTTTATTACCGTGTGGCTTGTACGCAATCTCGAAATTCACCCTCTGTAACAACCAATCGAATTGCAGCATCCGCGCATGCGAATCTCTCTGGGGAATCCATTATTATTTTACATTTTTTAACAGGGGATGAATACAATACACTTTTAGAAAAGTTTTTTCTTGTTTTCTTTGTCTCATTAATAATGTATTCTCTTAATTATTTACTCTCTAAGAATTAGTGGAAATTTCTACTAATGTATAGTTATTTTTTACTGAAAGTTTAGTATCACTACTAAATCACTAAATGAATAATCACTAAATCAAATTGTAATATTTTACTAAAAAATTAGTGAAAGTATGTGTAAAATGAAAAAATACTTTTACTTTAATTATATTTATTATCAAATAAATATTTCAAAAATGAATTATAAATAATTATTATTTAAGTCAATTTAATGGTATTTATTTTATATACAGAAATTATTAGTTCAAATACAGTTTATTTAATTCTAATAAAAATTATTTGGATCAAGTAAATATTTATTTGATAATAGTTTAAGTAACCAATTTTATTTGAATCAAATAAATTTTTTTTATCCTTTGATAAGAAAAATCGTATCAAAGCAATTCGAAATTGAAAATAATATAAAGAATATGATGTTCACTTTTCTTTTCAGGCACTGAATGGGTTCCTGTTAATACTGACCTGCGATGGGGAGGTTTTTTTTGCAACCCACAGCATAGAGAGCTATCTTGGCTTCCATCAGGTAATCCGAAAATTATAATTTATATTCAAAGAATATTTTTTCAAAAATATTATTTAGAAAATTGAATTTTTAACTATAAAAAACTAAATCAACTAAAAATTATTATTTGCAATTTAATTATTAATATTTAAAATTAATTAATTTATTAATATTTTTTTATAAAGAAAACATTTTATTTCACAAATCAAACATTTGATTGAAGAAAATTGTATGTAACAGTAAAGTGGAATATAGTTTGAAAAATCAGAAACAAAATATTGACCTATTCGCGCTTACTGAAGGGAGAAAATGGTAAAATGTATTTTTCTTTTGAGTATCCAGAGTATAGTTTAACATCATAACTCGTTCAATGTTAATAATACTCGATCTTTCTCTCTCTCTTTCTTTGTTATCACGTCCAACAACCCAACGGCATGAAACGGTCACGCGACGTGTTTGTTGAGTTTTGCCGTGACGTGTCTGTTACGTTTACACGCGCATCATTCACTGCCATGGTCGTCCATTTTCCATCCCTTTTGAATCTTTTTTTTTTTTACATATAGACACACAACATTCAAAATTAAACAATCAACCAGACACTTTGACGCGCTGTATAAATTTGTTTTAAGAGCTCTATGTCAAAGTATATATACGATTGATTATAGAACAAAAGTTACGTACATATTAACAAAAAAAAATTATCCATATTGTTGTGTATTTTACTGGAAATTTTATACGACAATCGAAATGTAATTAATTTTTCTAAGTAGCGAATTTTTATTTTAATGAAACCAAATTGTTTATTTAAAAATAAATTTTGACTGGAAAGAATTGTTTTTGTATATATACGAGGCGAATGAATTTTTAACAAATATTATTTGCAATAAAACATACTTGGCAGAAATGTATTTACTGTATTTTTCATTTGACATAAAAATAGTTTGTTTATTATTAAATTAATTCAAATTAAATTAAATATGTATTTGTTGTATATTTCATTTAAGATAAAAGTTACTTGAGATAAGAGTCACTTTACAAAAAACAAACTTGACATAAAACATTAAACATACATTAAACTTACATGACGTAAAATTAACTTGACATAAAACTCACTTTACATAAGTCACTTTATATAAAATTGACTTGACATAAAATTCATTCGCCATAAATCTCACTAGACAAAATAAAGTGTATATCAAGTGAGAATTAAAACAAATGAAATTTATACCGAATGAAACTTATGCCAAATAAAAATGATGTAAAATGTATTTTATGTCAAGTGACTTGATGTAAAGTAACTTGTGTCAAGTGATTATGGTAAATAATTTTTATGATAAATGAATCTTATGTCAAATGAGATTAATTCCAAACACAGAAAATTAAAAGGCATTAAAATAAGAGCGTTGCACATTTTTTTAATACCTTTTAATTTTCTGTGAAGGAGTTTTATGTCAAATAAGTTTTATACCAAAATTGAGTCTTAAGCCAAATGATTTTTATGCCAAGTGATTTTTTATACAAAGTGATTTTCATGCCAAAGGAGTTTTTATAGCAAATGAATATTATAATAAATAATTCTTTTGGCAAATAAATAAATATTTGATGGCATAATAAATTTTTCTATATTGAAAGTAAAGTCATAATGTGTGTCTGATATCAAATGAAATTGGTCAATTATAAATGACTTGACACATTTGGACAATTGATAGCTACTAATATGTCGGTTAAATCGGATTGCCTCGAGTGTTTATATATAAATTTTTTTGCCCTTCGCCCTCTCTCACTCTCTCCAATCGCATCGCGGGACCGTGCGCGCCTTCATAATTCTTGGCTATAATTGAGAGCTCAACTTGGAGGAAACCTCGTGTGCTTGCACGTGGGTACTTACATACATACCTCTATGGCCGAGACACATGGTGATATGTGAGCCTGCTATTAATGCGCCCTGCGGATTAATTATTATTACGTGCCTGGTTTGTTTCAATTTGTAGTGAACCTTTGATCACGCCGAATCGTGTTCCTATTGCTTTAACATGAATGTCGGATTTAAATTAATTCTACCAACGCTTTCAATAATAGAATGTGTACATTTCTCTCTCTCTCTCTCTCTCTCTTAGTTATTTGCTCAAGAAAAAAGGTTTTTTTAAAGTAAATTTTTCCATTTAAAAAACGTTTACGTTGCATCAAGGAGATTTTTTTTTTTTAAGGAGGTTCAATCCATTAATGCAACCTTAAACTAAAAAGTAGTTTTTAACAGAATTGAAAATATATTTAAAATTTATTTCACCAAAATTCGAAAAATCCTGTAGAATTAGTTAAATACCCTTATCAAAAATTTACAACTGGCGCGATATTGGTACCAGTTTTTCCGTGTAAAGTGAACAAAATTTACTTTTAAATGGAAAATGAATGGAATTTATTTTTATACATTTTTTGATCATTTGAAACTTTTTTTCATGATTTTTAATTTTTGGAATATTTTAACAAAGATATTTAATTATTGGCAAAAAAAAAATGGTAAAATCTAAAAAAGTGATGTTACATTACAAAAATTTACGAAACGGAAGAGCAGAAATAAGAGGAGGAAGAAAAAGAAATACAAAAAAAAAAAGAAATGAAAAAAGAGAGTTCATTCTTAGGTGGAGAGTAAATCAAGCAAACCGGTACAGGGGACAGGAAGATCGTGGATGCTGCGCGAGAGTATATATAAGAGAGAAAGAGAGAGAGAGAGAGAGATGCGCTCGTTGCCGATGGGGGTGCGTCAAAGTTTCGACTAAATAATTGCGAGCTCTTAATTAACGGCAAGGGACGGTCGTAAAAACATCCGTAATATGGCCTTTCGGTCCACCAGTGCGTGTTTTAGGTTTATTTAAATGAGATCCCGTAAAGAACTCCATTTGACTGATATATAAAGTAACTGATGCTCAAGAAGTTGCGCAAAAATTAATTATTACCAATCCCTTCCAGTATTGACAAATCAAAATAAAATTGCATTAAAAAAAAAAATTTTTTTGGTCAAAAACAATATCTTAACAATATCGTGGGCTTCTATTTAAGAATTTTTATTTAGAATATTATTAAAAATAAAAAATATAAAACAATTACCTATTTATTAAAAAGGAATTCAAAAATTAGGATTATTTAAAAAATATTAAACTCTAATGAATGTTTCTTAAAGTAAAAATGAATATATTATTTGCAGTATTTCAATAAAACTATTTTTTATTTAAATCACAGTGTGCAGTGAAAACTTGTCAATTTGTGAATTAGTACTTGTATATTTACTCGACGCATTATATTCTTTATCATGGTTATTATCTTACAGTCCATAAAGAATATATATATAACTTTAAGTATATATATAAGACGCATGAATAGACTTAATACTTTTTGGAATTTATTCATAATTAAGTTCACTTTAAGGAATAATGTACAATCTTCTTACTATAAAAATTTGTTACTTTTTATGAGTATGCTCACTTATAATGCATATATATATAAAGATAAAAGTATATAAATGATAAAACACTTTTCTCATGAATAATTCTCGAAATGTTAACGCGCACTGAAAACAAAATAAAGAATTTATTTAGCACGTGTTCTCTAAATGTTTTCAATATCAAGATATTTTGTTTTACTCAAACACATTTTTAATTCTAGATAAAAATATTTTCAATTCTACATTTTGAAGCGATTTAAAAAATTTGATTTATTGAAAATAAAGTGGAAATGTATTTCATTTTGAATATAATGTAATTATTATTGATTCAATAGATGACAATATATGAAAATAAATTAGAATATTTAATATATAAAATTACAGAATATAACTAAAATATAAATCGTCGATTATTTGAATATTGTCACAGGTGTATATTTATAGATTCGATTATTAATGGTGCGATGATATTACAAAAGAGAATTTGTTTTTTTTAATGGTATATAGAAGAGAAGAATATATAAAAATCTCTTGGAGATTGGTCCAATGAATTATCCTAGCGCTCCACAGGATTCAAGTTAAATGCCTCCTCGTATTCCCCGCTGCGAGAGCATCCCAAAGAGGTGACTGACTGTACGGTGCGTTTGTGGTGCTCTAATTTTAATTAAAGTTAATGTGCGTTTTTCATAGTATCTAATTGGCTGTGCGAGCCAAGCGATTATTCATCACCGGAAGATGGATACGCCATTCTTTTCCCTTTTTTCTCGTCTTTATTTATTTTTTTTTTTTTTATTTCTTATTTCACCAAATTTGCATATTTTCAAGGCGAATATATGAAAACGATAAACGAAATTCAAACATTGCGATGAGAAAAATATAAAAAAATATTTTTCAATTCTAAATACGTTTTGTAAATTGAAAAATTCCATTTTATTCTGCATGTCTATTTTTGTTTAGAGGTCGTCGTGTTCATGGTTCATCTTTAAAGAGTTGTCGTACTGGTCATAAATCACGAATAGACTAAAGTTATAGCCAATGACAATTTTCTGAGGTTATATATATATATACAGGTTGAAGTTGCGCGGGTCACGATTTTCGTGTTATTGTACGATACCGATGAGTACATATAGTTCTCATGACACAATGTGCAAAGCCATTTATTTCCGGCGCCTTGTTCACCGGCAATCTCGATTACTCACAATCGGTAACATCTTGAATAACACTCTACACGAAATTCTCATATACAATTTATATTTTAAAGAAAAACAAAGAAAAATTATTTTTTCGTCTTCAGTAAAAAAGTAAATAATTTTTTTTACCAGCAATTCGTATATCACAAAATTATTGGATGTGCAGTTGAACCTTGCAAAGAGAGACCTGTGAAAGAGGGACAATTAGATAAAAAGGACGTTTATTATCTATATGTAATTTTTTATCTGTAATATTTTATTGCTGACACTCTTTGGTTTTTTGTATGACAAAATTGTTGTAGATACAGTTAAACCTCGTAAAGTTAAACAAGAATAAAAACTCGATAATTAATAGTAATTCTGTTTTATGTAATTAAGATTTGATATTTTAATATCAACAATTTTGGTATTGATACTAATTATTAGTTATACAGACAAACCTCGATAAGACCTACGTAAAGTAAACTTCTATTAATGAGAGTATTTTCAAAAAATTAAAAAATGTAAAAATCCTTATGATTTAATTGCGACCATAAATTGATTTTGAATCAACTAAATTGATAAAATTAATAAATAATAAGTAAATCAGTAAATAATTATAAAATTGTTAGACATACAGTCAAGCCTCGTTAAGTGGAACATGCGTCAGAGGGAAATCTCTTTTAATGAGAGTACTTGTAGAATATGTTTAATTGTTATTCCTCATCACTGATACCATTAATTGGTATTCATCAAAATTATTATAATACAGTCCAGCCTCGTTTAGTGTGACCTACGTATAAGAGAACCTCTATTAATGAGATTATTCCTATAAAATCACAATTCTTTATAAATACAACTTTCGTATAAAAATAATTATTATGGTTCTAATTCTTACAAATGTAAAGCTCTCTTTACGTCGATATCCATTAAATCAGGTTTAAATGTAAGAAGAAAAAAAAATCCTTTTTCACTTGTATAGTCAACTTTTATTTAAAAAAAAAATATTTGAAATTCTTTTCTTTGAAAAAAATTGTTTCTAATATTGAAATTGTGATTATTTGATTGATTTCAGTCGGACATTGTTCATCAGAGTGTTTATGAATTGGTGCATAGTGAAGATCGAGAAGAGTTGCAGAGACAATTAATGTGGAATTCATTTCTCCCGGCTGAGAGTGCCACCCTTCCACTCCACGATGCACTCTCGCCACAACACAGCCACCTTCTCGAACGAAGTTTCACGGTGCGGTTCCGCTGTCTGTTGGATAATACATCCGGTTTTCTGGTACGTATACTCTCCTATAATTATGTCGATTCGTATGCAATTCTCAACTTTCATGAAATAAAAAGCCGTATAACGTCTACTCTAAATGCATCCGGGCACCATATCCCCCCCCCCACTTATGTACATATACCATTGCTTCTTTTTATCGATTCAGGGAATATATATATATATATATACACTGGAATGCTCATATACAAAGAACATAATTCACCTCATAAATTATTATAAACCAACGAGGCGGTATAATTTTTCCAGGAGAAATTCGATGAATCATATAACAAAAAAAAATCACGAATCAATTTTTAAAAATATTCTTTTTAGAATAAAATTTTTACGCTATTCGCAATATATGGTGGGAAAATTGAAAAGTAAATGAGAAAATCATGTCACTTTTGGATAAGCATGAAAATTTGTGGTTTTTGTTGGATTAAATGACGATTAGTATAATGAAGGATATGGTAACCGCGAAAGATTGGTTGCGAAACAATTTGTGTCTTTGGTCCTGCTCGCGCGGCAACTCATTCAATATATTTGCCTGTTTCTCCACGCTCACCAAGGACAAAGTGCCGACGTACAAAACAGTAATTAATAATTTCACTGTCGTAAAGGGAAAAGAACAAGTCGATAAGAGACACGTCCCGCGGTGTGGACGACGGAAAGAAAGAAAGAAAATGAGAGGGTGTAGTATATGTTAACTGTTTAAGAAAGAAGCTCAAAAAGAGTCTAAGAGAACGTCCTCTTGTGTGTATATCTCTTCTTTGAAGATAATTGCTTTTTTCTGTTAACCCCCACAGCAATTGTAGTATACATTAGTTACCAACCGAGTACTCTCTATGTGAATCCACTTAAAGATTCTTTTATTTTGTACAAAAAAAAAGTAGTAGTAGCAATCATCAAAAATAAAAATATACATTAATTATTTATCAATTAACTTAAATTTACAGACACTAAAAAGGTGAATTTTCGCGTTAAAAATTACGAAATTTCGTTTAAATTTAGATTTGTCTGACTGAAACTATCTTTTACTATACTGTTACAATAAAAGAATTAAATATATATTTTGTCTGATTAAAACATACTTTTACTAATAATAATTTATTTACATGAAATTCAGAAAAGTCTTGTCTGACTGCAATTGTTTTTTACTACTAAAAAAAAATCACTAGATTTTTAAACAAAAAAAAATTTACATTTATTAATTTAATACTCTAATTTCTAAAAATCCAGAACAGTATCGTCTGATCACTTTTTATTACTAAATCTAAAATTGCAAGACTTTTAACCATTCTGTCTGACAAAAACCTACGTTTACTACTAACTCTAAAATTACTGAAATTTAGAAATTTATGTCTGCCTTCAACTTTCTTGTACCACTAATCCAAAAATTACAAGAATTTAATAAGTTTTGTCTGACTAAACTGTGTTTTTCTACTTTTATAATGTTTACCAAAACATACAATTTTCTGTTTGACTAGAACTTATTTTCACTATTAATGAATAAAAATTACAATTATTAAATATTTTTTGTATTTTTTAACTATTTTGTCTGTCGAAAACTTACTGTTACTACTCATTGTCAGACTTTAATTTTTAAAAATTAAGGAAAGTGTTGTCTGACCGACATCGTTTTTTACTACTAAAATTAATAGAATTCTGTCTAACAAAAACATTCTTTACCTACCTACTGATTCTAAAACTTCAAATTGTTAACATTTTTGTCTGACTAAAAGTATCTTCTACTACTAAACAGAAATTACAAGAATTATAATTTTGGAAATTTTGAAAGTCTGACTAAAATTAACTTCTACTACTGATATAATAATAATTGTGACAAAAATTTTATAAACTCTTTTAATTTTTGTGTCATCAATTTATTAATTTATTTAGAAAAATTAATATAGTAAATTTATTTACTATTTAATAAATTAATTTAGTAAATTTAATTAATAAATTCATTTAGTAAATATATGTGCCTAGAAAATTACTTGCACCGCAGCTCTAAAATAAATAAATAAATAATTTTAAATCAATTAAATAATTTTTATATTTTTTTCACAGAGATTAGACATCAGGGGAAGAGTAAAAGTGCTTCATGGCCAAAATAGAAAAACGGAGGAGCCACCATTAGCATTGTTTGCTCTCTGTACTCCATTTGGACCGCCTTCTTTGTTGGAAGTACCACAAAAAGAAGTGATGTTCAAAAGCAAACACAAACTTGATCTTGCTCTCGTTTCAATGGACCAACGAGGGAAAATGCTTTTGGGTTATTCCGATGCAGAATTAGCAAATCTCGGTGGTTATGATTTAGTTCATTATGACGATTTGGCATACGTTGCCAGCGCTCATCAAGAATGTAAGAATTAATTTTATTTTTTTTAAAGAATTTTTTTTCACATATGATATAATTAAAATTTATATAATTAGTAATTAGTTTTTTTTCTAATTTTAGTAATTAGTGAATAAAAAGTTTTTTAAATATAAAAATTATTTTTTTAATATCGCTTTTTTGAAATTGTATCAAACAATAAAAATTTAAATGGATTTTAAATAATATTTGTGATTTATTTTCTTTGCAGTATTAAAAACAGGAGCGTCAGGTATGATCGCTTATAGATTTCAAACAAAAGACGGTGGCTGGCAATGGTTGCAGACCAGTTCGAGACTAGTGTACAAAAACTCCAAACCTGACTTTGTCATTAGTACTCATCGACCTCTCATGTAAGTTTCTTTTTCTTTTGCGAAATTAATTTTGAACTAATAAATTAATTTGATTCTAATATTATTGAATTTAAAAAAAATTCTAAAACCGTTTTAAATTTTTTAAAAATTTTAAATTAATTTCTTTTTTTTTATCAATTTACTAATAATTAAATAACGAGAATTTAAAAATGAAATTATCATTTGCAGGGAGGAGGAGGGTAGAGATTTATTAGGAAAGAGAACAATGGACTTTAAGGTGAGCTACCTGGACGCAGGACTAACCAACAGTTATTTTTCTGATAGTGATAGTTTGTCAGGATCAACGATGACACCAACAATTCCCGCGCAACCAACACCTCAACGAGTCAACAGACGTTATAAAACACAATTGAGGGATTTTTTGTCAACCTGTCGAAATAAACGCACCAAATTGACAAATCAATCATCAATATCGCCACCGGCTACACCAACAGTGACGTCAGTTGATTATTTGACAGCCGATACAAGTGCTGCAGCTGCCGTTGCTGCAGCATACAGTAATCTCAATCCAATGTATGCAACGCCTTATGCACCAGCTGCAGTTGCCACAGCAACCGATCCCTCCTTAACCACCTATATCGGTCACACCAGCAATTATCATCAGACATTGTATCCTACAACTGCTCTCGATAACAGGTAAATTCCCTCAAATCTCGATTTTTGTTTTACATTTAAATTCCTCGGAATTTTTTTTAAAAAAAAGATTAATTATTTCCCCAGGTACCTAACAGCAACGGAAAATATTTTCCAATATCGACCATTGGGTTCCTATTATCCAGAGTATCACACGACAACGGCCTACAATGGTTTCATTGACGTTTCGTTGCCAACTTATGACAGTCATCAATTGGGTAACAAAACCGAGGAGAAAATATACTGCCAACAACTCAGCGATTCACCAAAGTACAATTACACTGACACACGACTTCCAGGCAGTGTTGGAAGTTCACCGTATGCACCGAGTCCAGTGACAGGTGGACCACCAATTCATTCAGCGAGTGATATGAATGTAATTCGTGCCAGTAGTCGACAATCCCTTGAGGGTGCATCGTCAAGTAATTCAGCTGGTAGTTCACCAGTTTCGGCAGCGAACGGTGTTCTCACGCCAAAAATGGAAGACGTCAAACCCGATCTCTATGGCAGTGAAGCGCCAAGACAAACAGTTTTAATGTGGGGTGCACCACCAAATCGTACATCACCAAAAAATAATGGAAGTTACAGTCCACCGACACCATGTTCGACAAGATCGTCACATTCAGTGAATGCAAATTCCAATAGTGGTGATCCATTGAAATCATTGGCTGAAATGAATTCAATAAATGGTGATTGTAAATGGAAACGTAATTCGCCAACAAGTCAAACAACAGCTCCAAGTCCACCGAGATTGAAAGCTCATCAGCAACAATTGCAAGCTCAACAACAACAACAGCAGCAACAACAACAACAAGCTCCACCACCGTCACAATTGCAATATCCTGTTGTTACCACTGCTCATTATGGAACAACTGCCGCTGGTTATACGCACGCTCATCCTGGTCATAGTCATGGGGACACGGGCTCCGAGGTATGGCAAGGAGTCCAACATCACCATCACTACCAGTACTATCCTTACCACCATCACCACCCCGCACCACCAAGGCACACGTCCCAGTGAGTGTCACCGTCAACTCACTCAATCTTTATTTGCCGGGTGCCAGTCGAGTCGGACGGTCGGTGACACTTGCATTTTTTATATTCTTTATTCTTCTTCTTCTTCTTTTCTTTCTCTCGTTCTCATAAATAATAATGCACGATCCATGATAAAAATTTCACCCTTTTTTTTAATTTATTTTTGTCAATTTTCACTCTTCTTTTTTATATCTATCTAATGCGACTTGCCTATGGGACACACACTAGCCGATTTTATTAAACGTAATTAATTTACACGGAAAGAAATTTGGTATCAAATTTTATAAAAGGGCATTTCCATGAAAACGTGGACATTCGTCACGATGACTAAATTTGTCTATAACTTTTTTTTTTAATTATTATAAAATAAACATTTTTTGTTCCATGAGAAAGAGATAAGGAAATAGAAACGTGTCCAATAGATTTTTTGATTTTATAAGAAAATTGAAAAAAGATACAGCGATACGATTAGTCATCGTAACGCATGGACGAAAATTCAATTTTTCTCATGGAAATGCCTAAAAATGTACTATATAATTTTGTAGGACAAAATGTGACAATGCAATATTTTGATATCAGAAATACTAAACTTTAAAAAAAAACTATACAAAAAAAGTTATATTAAAATTTGTTAAAAGTATTTGATATAAGTTTCATTTAAAGTTTAGTATTTCAGATATCAAAATTTCGCTTTGTCCTACAATTTTAAAATACTTTTATGAAAATATTAATTTTCTTTCCGTGTAAAATTAATTTTAATCAAGGACTAGTGAAATTTTAAATCCATCAAAATTCACGTTGGTAACAGGCGTCAATTTTTTTTTTTCTAAAATTATTCCTTTGATTAAAATAACTAAAAAAAATTACAAATTTTTCAAAAAATTCAAGCATTTGTCTGTAGTTATGAAAAACTTATTTGAAGAAATTGTCATTATCGAGAACTAAAGAAAAATAAATTTTGATGATATTCATCATTTTAATTTTTCAATATTCGTACAATTGGTTATTCGGAATCGTAAAAAAGATTTTAAAAAAATGGTGAATGAAAAATAAAAGAAAATATTTAAATATAAAATATCCTCATTACTTTCAATTTTTCGATAAATCATTTTTATCCACATCTTTAAAAATTCTTTATCACGTCCGTTCGATATCGACTGGTATTATCACTTTTTGACGTGTCTATCATTAAAAAATTTAAAAACTAATTGTGGAAATTAAAAAAAAACCTCTTAAAATAAATATCAAACAATTTTTTTTATTAATTTGTCTAATTAATTATAATTAATAGCAAATAATTAGTTATAATTAATTAGAATTCTAAATTTTTATTTTTCTTTCCATCAAATATCATTAACACCCAAAAATTTCAAAATTATTCTAATTATTGTTTTCTAGAAGAGTTTTTTAATTATTAAATTTTTACTTCATCCATATAAAACTTAATTTTAGATTTATTAAAGCACAATTTCGATTTTCACCAAATTCTCTCAAATTATTCAAAAGATTTTTGTATTCTCTTCAAAATTACGAATTTGTACTTGTAAAAATTAATTTTTTTTCTTGAACTTCGCTTCTTTGTAACAAATCTGTTTTTGATTTTTATAGATTGCAAAAGATTTGACGATAAAAAAAAACATTTTTATTTACTTACTACTTAAATAATAAGTAATAAATAATAAAAATGATTATAATTACATATTTTGAAATTTTGTTTAAAAATGAAAAAAAAAATCGTTTGAATCATTCTATTAATTATTTTAGATTATAAAAATTTAGAGACACTATAAAAAAATGCAAGAATAGATATAATAATAAAAATTTTTGTATTTGATGGTAATTATTTTTTTTTTAATTGCAGCACGTTACCATCGGCAGGGATAACGGATGTAGGGATGGGCTTAGACATGGGCATGAACATATCCATACCCATGGAAACGGACACCATCATCAGCAACGTCACCACCATCACCACGACGAGCACAACCACCAACAGCAGCAACAACAGCAGCAACGTCTTGTATTATCCAACGCATCATCACGTGTTGGGGGGATCGTCGGGCTCAATGATGGGTCCGGCTGCCCCACAGATTCCAAACCGGACGCTGGGAGTCCTTTGCTGTCCATCTCTGAGGTGACTAACACCCTACTCAACCAGTAGTCTTTATATCGTCTCGACACTCATCTAAAGTTCACAATCAAGGTAAGCAGTCATTTCTTTTTCAATCTCTTTTTCTTTAAAGAAAAAATCTTCTTTTTTTAGAAAAATTTAAAAATCTTTATTAATATTTCTTAAAATTATCAGAAATTTTAAACACCCGAAAATTATGTTTAGGTAATCAAATTCAAACACACATTAATTTAAACAATTTTTAGATATTTTTTTTCAGTTCAAAAACAAAATTAGACAAAGAATTTTTCGCGTTTTTGTCAAAATGTTTTTGCGTTTTTTCATATCGGTATCGGTTGCTATACTACAAATTGCTTCAGTAATTTTTAAGGTAACATTTTTTTTTATTGCGATTAATTAATATAATCAATTAATATATTGTAAAAATTCTAAACGATTTCTTTTTCTCTGTTACAGATGTCAAGACCGTATTAATCACTCCAAAAACGGGTTAGCGATCGCACGCTTGTAACATAATACAGATAATATCGCTTAAATAATAAGACTTCGTACAATTCTGTAATATACTCATTCATACTATTTCAACGACGTACGACAAAGTACATTGCATCAATTCATCCATAATAATATATCGATTAATTAACATTTTTCCCTCCTCCCCCGGAAGTAAATATCATTTTTATATTTCTACTGCTATTCCAATTCAAAAAAAAAAAAAAAAAAAAAAAAAAATTATATACACAATTGTATTTCATTCTATAATGCAGTTTTTTGAAAAATTTTTAATAGAAAGCCAAAGTGCGATATTTTCTGCAATTATTATTATTATTATCCGTATAATATCGAGAATATTTAGGGGCACGCGCAGTAATTTTGTTTTCCCAATTAAATTTTTTAAAAGAACGTCTTTCCAATTACATATCGTTTTCAAAGCTTTATATACGCATACATATTTACATATAAACATAGAATTTTTTTAATTTAGTGGAATTATTTTTTAGAATTTATTTAAAAATTTAATCCACAAGAATGTGAGTAAAAGGGAAAAAAACAATAAGTTTTCATTTTGAAATGAGAATTAAAATAATTTTACAAAAAAAAAATGGTAAAATAATTCAAATTTAAATTAAAAACTGTTTTCCGTTATTGTGAGTAGCAAAATATTTATATTATATATAAATAGATGAATTTTCCAGAGAAATATTAATTTTGTAAAAAATTAATTGGTCTGAGTCTTTTTTTTTAAGTTGGCGATAAAATATAGCTTATTAGTAGCAATTTATACAATTTCCTCTTGATTTAATGAATCAAGAATTGAATATTTTGAATAGCCCCTTTGTACAATAAATTCTCTACCTATGTTAATAAAATTTTCTCATGGATAATACGTATTCTGTGATATGTGTTAGCTAACTTAAAGACAGTAATTAAAAGAAAAACTCACGTCGTTATAATATTTATTATTGGCATTAAATCAGTAATCGTACGAAAATTATTCACGAAATAAAGGCACTTTTTAGTATTTATTATTTTCTTTTTTTTCATTTTTACATTTTTAATTCACAAAAAAAATATTAAATTTTTTAATTTATATTCAAAAAAATTATTTCTTTTTTTTATCAATTTTTAAATATTTTTCTTTTTTATTAAAATAAAAATCCAAAATAATATTCTCTTAGATTTCTTTATTCCGTGAATAAATTAAGTATTGCCAATTAAGGAAATGGCTGTTGTGAGAAAAAAAGAAAAAGTATATTTCACGCAGATTTCCTTAAGAGATATTAGAAAACATTGTTTTGTCTCAAAAAAAAAAAAAAAAGAAAAAGAAAAAAGTTGGCAGACAGTATAAAAAAAAATAATTCTTTTCCGACAATTCAGGAGACTGAGCAAAGTATAAATGCAGTGAATCACTCCTAATTCAAAGATAGACAAATTTATATACCGTAAAAATTAGTTGCTCAATTGAAAATTTTACCAAAAAGTATAAAATAAGAATTAATTAATTTATAGTATTACTAACATAACGGTTATTAGTTTAATATTTATAAATACATATTACTGACAATCATTTTTTATAATCAGACGAATAAACAAAATATATAAAAAAAACAATATGTATAACGATTCTAAAGAATTATTAAAAATGATGTAAATTTATAGTCAGTCTGTCTATTTAATCAGGATTGATTCAACACTTTTCTGTCCATCTGAAATCCAGTCTTGCCAATATTTTGTTAATAAGTTTGTAAAATTAGTACTTAATTAATTTATGCATTATTTATGTATCATATATAAATATATATACACGCAATGAAGATAAAGTGAAGCCGAATGAGCCTTCCATTGTCTGAAAAAAACAAAGAAAAACAAAATGTTTCTTGCAAAGTTAATAATAAGTAACTTATTGTTAAAAAAAAATTTTGATTACGGAATTAAAAATTTCGTAAAATTGTATATTTATTATTTAATCGTAATCAATTAATTTAATTAATTAAAAGCATTACAATGTTTTATCATTTAAATAATCAGTATTTATAAATTAAATTTATATTTTTTGTTTTTTCTCTTTTATAGTAAAATTTCAACAAAAAAAAAAAAAAAATTAACTTTGCAAATGAAACTTTATTTTTGTGTTCCACAGTTTTTGTCTCATAAGTTGATTCATTTTCTTATAAGTTATTAGAAGAAAAAAAACTGTGGATAACGATAAGCAATCGAGTCTAGTCCATGTACGATGCGAATTAGTATTTTATAAATATAAATATATAAATATTATATATATATATTAATATGCAATGCTTAGACTGTGATAAAATGCTCACGTTTCCGGTGCATTCTAAGCATTAATTATATTCTACATATATAAATAAGCGTAGATTTTAAAGAAAAAAAAAAGAAGAAAAAGAAGAGGAAGATCAGAGCGAAAATGCGTTATTTAAGAATTTTCCAATTATCGGTCTCATTCACGTCCTTCAAATTTATTGCTTCGAAGAAAACGAGAACGTTTTCACAGTTCAAGCACAAAATATGTATATTCACTTGTATATGTAATATAATAATGATGGAGAAATAGATAAAAAAAAAAAAATTTTTGACTACCCTATTCTGCATCTACTTGGACGCTTTTTTAAAATTTTTTAAATTTATTAACTAGTACCACAATAGATATTACTTATATTTAATTTTAATTATATAAATACACTAAAAATTTCGATTAGTTGGATGTTAGAAAAATTTTTAGGTTGATACAGAATGGGGAGATTCATTTTATAATAGATTCCATTTAGAGCGTCTTCAAAATATATTCTGTAAGAGGAGAGAATGGGTAGTTCTTTACACTTATCACTGTCACAATTGTATCATTTTAAAAAAAGAAAAAAAATTGTAAATACATATTAGCATTTTATGCTGAAAGTCAAAAATTACAAGTTTCTTACTTTAATAATCCCTATTTAAAAATGTTAATTATTTACTTGTAAATCTCCGGAAAATTAAACTACATCAGAACTTTTCTGGATAAGTAAATTATTAATTTACCTCAAACACATTATTTTATTTAAAAACTCATTATTTCGAATTTTCTGTAAATTAAAGAAAGGGGTTTTAAAAAAAATAACGAATTCAGTAATAAAATACTTTATTGCCAATTCGAAGTTTTTTTTTCCTTTTTAATAGCTTGAGACACTATGTGTGTAGCTGTTACATGACTTTTTGATTTACTCTAAAAGACTATAGATACATAGATGTTCTATTAAGTTTTTGTTTTGTTTTTACTGAATCTGGTTCTTGGATCGTCTATAACATTCCTGTTTAAAATTTCAATTGAAAATTGACTAACGACGACGATAAAATGAAATATCGTATATATTATATTTATATATATATATATTATTTATAAAGATGATTAGGGACGGACAAATATTTTGTATTGAACCCAATCACAAATTTCTTTTTTTGTGTCAACAAATTTTAAGCAGGATTGTCATAATATGAAATTGTCATATTAATGAAATTTGATGAATAATGAATTTTTTTTTTTTTTAAATCATTTATACATTTGATTTCACTTTTTTTTTCTCTCAGACATACTTTCATTTTCACACTCACATTTCACGCACATGAGCGCTTTTTTTAAATCTAATAGCATGATAATAAATACGTCATAACATTGTGTATTTACAGAAATAGCATCTTTAAAACTGCAATGATTCTCGCTTCTCATTCATTTCGATTTTATGATGTACAATAAACAAGAGTCAACGCAATTGATTGCAACAATAATAATAATAATTTTAAAACGTTTATATTCATCTAGAATTTGTTTCTTTTTTACTTTTTTTTATTTAATTTACATACATCTCTGATTATATCAGGGGTTATGAAAAATATAATACTACTGTTGTGCAATCGAGTGCAATTTACACTCACGATATTGTTGTATATTTGTATAATTTGTACAGTTAACTGTCTTGTTTTCTAATAAAGCTTATTTCGGACAAGCATACAAATAATTTACAAATATAACTCTGTACAATTATCCATATACATTAAATAATGTGTTTCACAGCGGAACCCCGGGTCACAATATTAAATTCAAAAACTAGCTCTAACGTGCAATTAAATTAATTTAATATATATATATATATATTTTTTTTTTTAAAGTTTATGCAAGATTAGATAAGTTTACATACATATATATATACTTTGATTCTCGAAACGAATCTTCTTTTTTCGTAATTCAATATTCATTTACCATGCTTTTCTTTACTATTAACTTAAATTTATAAATTATAATATATTAAACACATTATTTTGTAGCTTCTTTCACAATATGGCAATTTTTTCAACAAAACTCAATAATATAATTATTAAGCGTAATGTATGTATGTACTATATTAAAATTTGGAAAACGATAATTTGAACATTTTCAAATAATGAATTTTTTCAATTCAATGAATTACTCAAACTGTACTTATTTCCCTCAATTCTAAAATGCATTTAATTACACAATAGACAAGAATGTCAATTTTCGAAAATTTTTCTTATAAATATAAATCATTTTTTTTTAAGTTTTTCTTTTTTGAAAAATATAGAACTTTCGAAACGTTAAATAATTATATGAACTTTTAAAAACACTAGAAATTTTTGTTCTTAAAATATAACCACTGCCAAATAAAATAAATTACTACTAAAAGTAATTAATAATAATAATTAATAATAATAAAAATAACTAATAATAATAGTAATCATAATATTAATAATGATAATAATTAAAATAATAATTAATAAGAATAATTAATGACAATATAATAATTAATATTAATATAATATAAATTAATATAATAATAATAATTAATAATAGCTTCAATAAAACTATCGAAAAGAAACACTTCCTAACGAAACTAGTTTTACGTGAATATTATTTGTAAATAACTTATTACTGCGAGCTCATCAGCTCATTAATATTTAATAAATTATAAAACATTTTTAAAAGATCCAAAACCTATGTATTCAAAATTAAAATTCAAACTCTAATTACAAACAAAATATATTAGCAAAAAAAAAGAAAAGAAAATCTCGGTTACAAAAATAAGAACTCATTTAACGAGTTTATAAATAATTTTCAATTAAATTCCTAATTCATGCCAAGTTAAAATTATAAATTTGAATATCATGATTAAAACATAATGCAAAAAAAATGTTCTGTAAAAACACTTTAACTGTAACATTTATATTTAAAATTCTATTAAAACTTCCGATAAGAAACAAAAAATGATTAGCCTTGAATCAAGGCAAAGGCAAGGTTATTATTAAACGACGATTTTTTTGACAAAAAAAAATTATGTAACATTAAAAATGAAAAGAAAAATTAATAAAATATAATTTCTTACATTATTTTCAATGTACCTAACTAGAAAAAGAGAAAAAAACAGTGCATTTTATATAGAAAATTAAAATGCACTGATCCTTGCCCAAAAATTTATAAATATATCGCAATCACTTTATCTAAGAATCGAAAAGTAATTGCTGATAAAAAACGCAATTAATTTTACACACGTAAAATTTCTTTTAAATTTTACATGTCTTAGATGACGAATTATTATAATTAAAATATAATTAATTCATGTCATTACCCAGTGTCACGGATTAAGTCCACCGGGTCTTTTGCGATTTCTTCTATTTCTTTCGAGAAGAAATGACAAATCCAGTGGATCTTTCTTGTTTGGCATTCTTTGTAGAAGATTCATTAGAATACCATTCAGTCTCTTCCTTTGCTCTTCTCGCTGTATACAAAAAAATGTATTAATCAAAAGAATCGAATTTTTTTTATAGAAATTTAAAATCCCAACTAGTGTTATAAACACGAAACTTGATTTTTATAGTTTTATAATTGTAAAGAAATTTTTAAAAAATTAAACATTTATATTATTTTTTTTTTTTTGGGTAAAAACAATAAAAAATATGAAATAAAACTTTACCTGAGCGTAAGATACAATAATAGTAGGCACCGTTAAATTATCGCCTGAGCGACGTCTCGTTTTTGTCGTGGATTGTCGTGATGTTGGTGGTTGATCTTTATTGTTGCGATTAACTTCTCGTGTTTCTGCTTTTTGACCATTATTTTCAACCTCTTGACAGCCATTTTTTTTCTTGTCTTTCAATAATTTACCACCAGTAATACCATCAAGGCTGTGAGGCTGTAAAAAATTTAATTAATCAGTTAAATATTAATATTTTTAATTTAGTCAAATAATTCATTTTTTATTTAATTAAAAGTATAAAGTAAATTATTGATTTTATTTTTTTTTCGTAAATTCTCTTTGTTTCGATTTTAGATAATAATAAGAAAACAAGGGAAAAAAATACAAACCAAGTATGTTCGATAATGTTTGATCCGTTCCGGAAATGTTTCAAAGGCATAAGGTTTCGTACAAACTTGATGTCTGGATCTTGCAACTTTTGTAAATAATCTTGCAGCTCGATCAACACGATGTTCACACACATACGTATGCTCCGGCGATGATCCAACGGGACGGCCTTTAAATTAAAATAAAATACAATTTACACAATTTGCCTCAAAATAAATAAATTTATTCATGATATGTAAATTTTGTTAAAATTTTTTTGATTTTTTTCTGATCTGTGGCTGAATCTGTGATATAATTTTTTACCTTTGCAGAAAGTACTAGGATCAAGAACCCAGCATCTCGCTGCCACCAAGTCGCATGGAACCGCTTCGTACAAAGGTGCGCAAACAACTTCGTTTTCGAAAAATTTCCTCGTTGGTTCATGATAAGTTTCATGTGGCCTTAAATAGTGATGACCAAACACAAACCTCTCGCCCCTAAAAATTCGGCAAATTTAGGTACTTAAATATTTTTCTTCTTTAAAAAATAAATTTTTTTTTTCTATTTTAAAATTACTTTTGAAGAAAGATTTTTCTTAAAAAATTTGTTTGTAAAATTTGCGTAATGTGTAAATACAATTCAGTGATATTCGAATTTAATAGTCGAAACTTACTTGGTATTTTTCCAAAGCCTTTCAATCCGAAAAATATCCATTTGCTCATAATCAGGATTCTGAATGGTTTTGTAAGTATGCTTCTCGGGTGTGTCGCGTAAAACATAAACCGTGTCACCTTGTCTCAATTGAAGATCACCACGTAAAAGTGTTATATAATGTTTCTTTCCTTCCTCTTCTTCCTCGCCTTCCAATGGAATTTCCAAATCTACTGTCCTGGGTTGACAACGTTCACATAAATACGAATCCGCACTTGTATCAGCTTTCACACAATCGCAATGCTGCCAAACTAAACATCTCTCACACTGAATCATCAATCCCTCGTCCCTGTTAAATAAAATATATTGTTTTTTTCAAACAGAAATATTTTCGACAATCTAATATTGTTTTTACAAAAAATGATGATTATTTACCTGTGTAATCCACAAATGCAACGAATTACATCTTCCTCGCCTGCTGTTGATCCTTGAGGTGGCAAAAAACCTTGCGAAGGTGGAAGACCAGTTGCTTCTGTTATTGCATAAACAAAGTCTGCTTTTGTGCCTAAATAAAGTTTTCTCAATCTCGCTGCCGCTATTCCAATCTCCGAAGTACGTCCAAAAAATCTGACATTATTATCAAAAAGCTTAATTAAATCCTGATCAAACTGCTCGGCAGTTTTATAATGCCCACTTCCAATACCCTGATCAATCATTGTCAAATCAATTGGATCTTGTATTTTATCATAATATTCCGATAATTTTCTTTTCGGAGGTAGTGTCATAAATGGTGTACATAAAAGTTTATCAGTCTCATCTTTAGCTGTTGCAACAACGGAATACAAATCCTTCAAAACCTATAAAAATTAACAAAAATTTGTCAAATTGTTCAACAATTTTAAAAGAAAAAAAAAGAAGAAAACTTACCTTAGCTAACTTAGCAGTCTTGTGAACTTCCGGATCATCTTGAGCTTGCGCTAATCTTCGTGTTCTCACAGTTCGAGCATTAGTGTTTGTCAATGCAGTGAGCTGTGATAAAAATGCATCAGACGTTGATTTTGCATCGGTACCATTCTTTTCCTTTGTCGATTGAACATTACCAATTGCTTTAATTTTTCCCGGTTGTGGTACTTGATTAATTTGCAACTTCTGGCGTTTGACTTTTTCAAAATTTCTCAAAAGAAAACAATGATGTTCCTGGGCAAAACATCGTTGCTGATGTGACATGGGCTTTATAAGCGGTGTTGTTATACAACTTGATTCGCCAATTCTGCGAGATTTACATAAACCTTTTGAATTTGTCGATTGTACGATATTTGATTTTCGAATATTTTTCCTTGGTCTACCAACTGATTTTCTCTCCGTTGAATCGATAAGTGCAGGAACAATTGCCACTGATCGTGGAACACGTTGACTTTTCCCACCAATTACACCGCGACAACCATCGCTACCACAACGACATTGTTGTCCCTCCGAGGGATTGAATAGTGCAAAATTATAATCGTAAGTTAATTCCTCACCAGCGTCAATATTACGCGAGGCAAACAATGCCATTCTTGGTAATCCATTGACACTCCATTTTTGCATTTCACAATTTGGTTCACATGAATGATTCACAAATCGTCCATCGCCACCCATTCGATGTCCATCAATCACAAGTCCACCGTCCAAATGAAGACAATAATGATGTGTATCATTCGCGTATCTTGTTGCCATTCTTGATTTAAATTCCCGTTCAGATACCACTTCGCCAATGTATTCGAGAATAAATTCTCCGGATTTTATCGATTTTTGTGTACGTACACCCCAACCTTTTGCCTCGGTCATAAAACGTTGTAGACCCGGTGACCAATCGTGTTTTTGGATTTTTTGATTCTTACATTTCTCACCACATGGACAAAATTGTGGTGAACATTCACTGAAGACCATTCGATTGATACACTCATCGCCACATCCACTTTCTGGTTTACATTCACATGATTGTGACTCGTACAATGTTGTTGGCTTCACGTCATAATAAACGTTTGATCGAATTTTTCTGCAAAGAAAAGAAAAACAAGAGGTTAAATAATTTTAAGATATTTAAATCAGGAAATAATAAACATACCTGTAATTCCAAGAAGGTACCAAATCTCGTCCCGGTAAACGAGAATGAGTATGCAACCACCATAAATCATAGGGCAATTGAAATGGAATTTTTCTCTGTCTCAAAAATTTTCCACAATGATAAGGCGGTGGCAATAAACCATGAGGATGTTCCGCAGGATCGTAAATCATTTTATTTTTTCCACTATCGGAATTGGTGATTTTTCTCGGCTCATCTTCTTTGAAATAATCTGAGAATAAACCAGCTGGTAAATAGCGTTTCTTCCATCGTGGTTGCTTTCTCTTGCCACGTATTGAATTTCCCTGTTTTCCAAAATCATGATCATCGCTCGCCAAATCACTGCTTGGCATTGCATCACTTTCCGTATCGTAACCGGCATTTTTCAATCGTTTTAAATTTCTTATTGTTAAATTACAAGGACTTGCCGAACCTCTTCGTCTCTTGTGACTATAATTATTATTACAGGACAATTCATGTTTTACTGTTTCACGTGAATTGCTACGTTCTAATTTTCTGAGATTCTCTTCATTTAATACGGCAACACGTTGACTCATATTGTATCTCTCCAATGATTCCTCGAGTGTTGCATTCTCATCATAAATTCGTGAGTCTTGAACTTTTTCAAATTTCACAGGACACAATTTATCACAGGGTCTACTTCCATCGCATTCAAGTGATGATTCTTTTGATAGTGACATTGTTGTTGGACATGAATCATCATCGAGAAAACAATGTCGTGAAAATTCGCGTATTGGTGGTGGATCAACAATTTCAAATGTTTTTGTATCTTGATTGGAAACAATTTCTTTTGTCAATGATTCTTCGGATTGAATGTCATCAACTGAATCGATAATCTTTACTTCTGTTTCCTCAATTGTTGGAATAATCTCAACTTCTTTTACCATTGGTTCAACGACAATTTTCTTCTTTTTCTTTTTCTTCAACGTTGGAAAACCAGTTCGATTAATTGCTTTTCTCCTTCTTGCTTTTTTCTTCAAGACAATTGTTGGTCCTGTTTTAAGATTTGAATTTGTCGTTGATAAATTTAAATTAACACCTTTATCAATAGTTGTTGGCGTTTCAGTTTTCTTCACCGATTCTATTTTCACTTCTAAATTGGGTTTTGCAATTTCTGGCTTGACAATTTTTTCCGTTATTGCTTTTTCTACTTTTCCTGCTTTTTCTCCAGTACTTTTAATGCCCTTTTCGCAGGAATTTTTATTTTCAATTTGTGTGTCGGGTGCTAATTTTGTGACAGTCACTCGTAAATCTTTGACAATTTTTTTCTTACGTCGTGGATTCAATTCGGATGTGGTGACAATTTGAGGAGTTGTATCATTAAGTTCGGTATTGATTTTCTCTGGTAATGGTTCCTCTGTGTCGCGATGTCTTTTTTTCGGTGTTACGGGGACTTTTTGTGTTGTTGTTGTTGTTGATGATGATGAATCGCCACCGTAACGTGTGATTGTCGCCTCAATTGCCTCCTCTATATGACTTTCGGTGGAATTTGTAATTGTTTCGTTACAACTGCCAGCTGAACTTTGTGAACTATGTGGACTTGAAACATGATAGTGACGTTTTTTCAGTGGAAGTCGTTGCTCATTGGAACTTGAATTTGAATTTGAGTTTGTGCTACTTTTTGAATCAACGTTTGATGGCATTTTCTCTTTTTTCAATCGTCTTTTTATTAATTTTTGATCGTCATTTGAATTTATTTCACTGCCTTTTCGTTTTTTGGTGATTTTCTTGACACGAAATATTTGCGGTAATTCGGAATGATTTGAGGACGATGTAATGTTATTGCGTCCCAAGGTACAGGATTTTGAGAATTCTTCAATTAAATTTTCCAATTCTTGAACGATAAATGGATCGACGCGCACGGGATTTTTTGGCGGTACGACTAATTTTCGACAGTGTTTGTGATGACGATGTTTGTGATGATGGGCGGATTGATTTTTTGTTTCGGGTTTTTGATATTTTCGACCGAAATCTAATTTCTCGGTTTGTAATGGAATTGTGACGGGTAGAGAGATGACTGTTTGGACAGCAACATTTGTTTCGAGATTTGCGGATGTTTTTTTGTTACTTTTATTTTCTTTTAGGACTCGCCTTGAAATTGATGCTACGGGTTTTTTCACTGGGATTTGTTTTTTGCTGGTTGTTGGATCTAATCGATTTTCTTTTGTACTCTTTTTGTTATTATTGGGTAATTTTTCTTCGCTTGGAATTCGATTTAAGATGACTTTTTCTTGCTTTTCAGAGGGGAGTTCAGCAGTTTCTTTTCTGGATATGTGTTTATCCCTTCTTAGTCTCTTGTCATTTTTCTCCTTTTGCTCGATACTTTTATCCCTTTGTTCAACATTTTTTTCCTTTCGCTCATTATTTTTCTCTGATTTGTGAATTTTCTCCGTATGTTCGTTAATTTTTTCTCTACTTTTCTCACGTTGCTCTTTACTTATTTCCTTCTGTTCTTTTACTTTTTCTCGTTGTTCATTACACTTTTCTTTATTTTTATCTCTTTGTTCGTTATTTTTCTCCTTCGGTTCATTAGTTTCTTCCTTTTGTTCTTTACTTTTTTCCTTTCGCTCTTTATTTTTTTCTTTCTGTTCTTTACTTATCTCCCTCTGCTCCTTGAGTTTCTCTCTACGTTCGTTGCTCTTTTCCGTCTGTTCCTTAATTATCTCTGTCCGCTCACTGCTTTTGTCTCGCTGTTCCTTGCTTTTTTCGCGCAGTTCTTTATTTTTCTCTCTTTGCTCTTTACTTTTCTCCAGCCGCTCGTTTAGCTGTTCCGTATCTTTTGTTTGCTTCTCGAGGTTCGATTTACTTAGGCACTTTTTACGTGTAGGCAAAACTTTCTCACTCTCGGCAAGTTTCGATTTTGCCTCATCGGGCTCATTCTTCGGACTTGATTTTTTGTTCTTTGATTTTTTATTGAAACTAGAGTCCCGCGATTCCGACAGGGAATTGGTTAATGTTTTACATTGTACAGTTTGCTTGGCGCAAGAGGGATCAATTGAAATTTTTTCCTGAGATTCATTTGAATTTTTCTCAAGTTTCTCGATTTTGGCGGCAATTTCTGGCTTTAATTTAGGCCTTCCAGGTCCTCGCGGTTGTGTGGAAACTAATTTGGCAGGTCGCCCGGGTTTTCGTTTCGGTGGATATAAAACTCTGTCAACATTGACAGCTGGTTTTGATGCGACTTGAACGGGTGATTGTGACGTAGGTGCTTGTGGACTTACGGGACTTATTGCTAAATGTAATGGACTGTTATCGACAGATTGAATACCCGAATCGGGTGAAACATTTGATACACAAGCGTATTCAGATTCATTTAGTTTCTTTACTAATTTATTTCGTCGTTTTCGTGGTTCCGAGAGCAATGCTGTTTTTTCGACAAATTGTTGCAATAACGTTGAACTATAAACAGGTACTGGAATTTGATCGGTATTTTCACCCGAATCAGAATCAGCTCCAAGTGACATTCGTTCAATTGCTTTGGAAACAAGACGACCACTTTCCGAGTCCTCAAAACCATCAAACGGCGCATCCTCATGATCTTCATCGGGTAAAATTGCGGCTAAATCTTCTTGATTTATTTCTTGTAATGGTTGTTGTAGTTGAGGTTGTTGTTGCTGGGTTTGTTGTTGTTGTAGTGGTGGTGGTGGTGGTTGTTGTTGTTGTTGTTGCGGTTGTGATGACTGAAGCTGTGGTTGCGAAAACTGTGGCACTGGACTAGCCGATGAATCCGAATCATCAGTACTATCTCCTGAAGCCTAAATATCAACAATTTGCAAATAAATAATTAATAAATAAATTATTAATAATATAATTATCACAATTTTGTGAACTCGATATGTATTATTTTCTTCCGATCTGAAAGATTTATTTAAATTGTTTCAGAGGCTTTTATTAAACAATTTTCCTTTTTTAAGTCGTCCATGGTTTTTAAGAAAAAGCATGTTATCAAATAGAAATAAACTAAGCGTTAGCTAATGTTTTGCCAATGTTGATAATAATAATAATAATAATAAAAAGATAAAACAGCAATTTTCAACTGCTTTAAATAATTTTAATAAATAATAATAATTTTTTAATAATTTTTAAAAAAGTGTAAAATAATATTCATTTACCTTAGCAACGCGACTAGGTGTCTTAGTTCTTCTAGAAAGATTTCGCCTGCTTCTATCACACTTTGAGTTATCTTTATCCTCTTTTTTTGTTGCCTTCATGGCGATCTTAAGTTTTAGTGCTCCCTATAATATAGATTTAATTTTGAGAATTTTTAAATTTTTACGTGAAAATTTAAAGGGTTCACCTGCGACAATCTTTTTATTAAAAAAAAAAAAAAAACAAAAAAGGATGGTAATTTGAAATTTCCTTAATTTTCCTATTTTTAAAAGGATACTCCATCAGTTTTTGAAAAGCCTAATCATTATTATTGTATCATTGAAAAATGATCTTAGATACTCTTACACTTGACAATTAATATTTAGACAGTCAATCATAGCCATAATTCGTGAATTATTCTTTGTTTTTACATTACCTGTTCGAAGTTTGTTTCGCGAATGGAAAATGTTTGTTCACTATGTTTTGAAGTACAATCAGAATTTGATTCTGTATCATCTTCTTCTTCACCGCTGCTTTCATCGTCTGATTCGGTATTTGAATCTGAATATGAACAGCTGCCTTCGGTCCCTCCCGAACTATCATCATCCGATTCCGAATCATCCTCGGAATCTATAGAATCGTTTCCTAAATAATCAATGAATAATCATTATTCTCAACACAGTTGTAAGTGCTTTGTAATGAGTTTAATATTTGAATATAATTTGAATTAATGAGATAAAAGGGTTTTAAACTGTATTTCATATGTCGTATAATAATTAAATTTCAAGCTGTGGATTTTAATAATTTATGCAATCTTTGATAGTGAATTTTTTATAAGTAGATGAACAATTTTTTCGAAAATTACTATTAGAAAATCTTTTAAAAAATCCAATTAACTTCTTGAAGGGTTAAAATTAAAATTTACCATTCGGTCCAGTTGCTGGATTCCAGCTTCCTCCTTTTATCGCATCCATATCAACTGTAGAGGGTAATTCCCTCTCGGGTTCCCCGTCATTTTCATCCCAATTCCAAGTCTGTAACTCCAGCTCCGAGGGATGGTGTATAACTGCATTCCATCCTGAATCACCTGACATTTTTCCGCTTTTCTGACATCCAACAGGTCTATTAAAAACAATTTCATTTCATTAGCAACATTCTTATACGTTTACTACAATTTTATATTTACATGTTGTTTTACAAGTTTCTATTTACTCGTTACTTCATATGAAACTATATTTACACAATACATTTTTTCATAAGTTTATAATGAATAAAAACAAGACCTATAGGGAATATTTATAAATACGAAAATAATAATAAAAAAAATATAAATACCAAATAAAAATAAACAAAGAAAAAATAAAAGTATAAAAACTTTATTAGTAAAATAAAAAATAGTAACAAAACGTATTGAAAATATAAATAATAGTTTCATCATATAGACTATCCAGAAAAAAATGTTATAATTTTATTCAAAAGAGTTTTTAATAGGAATTTATCTCATTTTAAACTGTCAAAGCTTGGATGTTTGAAAATAATATTTCTTCCCACAATAAAACGTAATATTTGAAATCAATAATCCACAATCCTCTTAAAATAAAGTAGCATGCATGTGACATATAAAATTTCACGTGATTGATTAACAATGTTAATTTTGTTCAAATATTCTTTTAAAAAAAAAGAGATAATACAAAAATGCAAACAAATGCAAAATTATATTTGTTTACAAAAAAAAAAAATTAATAATTTTGTAAAACACAAAATATGGATTCAATCTAAAATATTTTGTCTCCATGACGTCTATATATTTAATAAACAAACTTGATTCTGTTATCATTTTAAAATATCCAAATTTACCGTGGAATATGAGTGAGTTTAAGAATTCGGACCTTGACTTGAAGCCCGCAATTCGTGCAAAAAACACTTGTTAATATGAAACTTTTTCAGTGATCACATGACGGTTAACGTACCAATCTTATCATTGCGATCCTGTTACACTAGTCAACGTTTCCATTGAATACAATATTTAATCAGCATTAAACTATTTAGCGAAAACAAAAACAATTGTCAAAAAACTTTTTATCAATGTTTGATGGACAGCTGTTTCTTGACATAAATAGGGCAAGTAATTTTACATGAGAAAAATTTGGCGCCAAAAAGTTCACTATAATATGCTTTCAATTGATTTGTAATTGTCTTAAAATGTTTTTTGGAACATAGTAAAATGTAGTAAAAAGATGTTAGTTGACTTTCCTAGGACATATCGCGCATGGATATCAACAGAATTAGAAAGTTTGGTGTTTATGTCAGAATGCGTGGTCACAAAATGGCGTTTAAACGATGGTGTTCGTTCATAATTAGCAGATCACTCATTGTTTCGATTACTTAATGATTAGATAATCAAAAAATAATGCAATTACCGATAATAATAGTCACTCTGGTGCAGAGCCTCCGACTGCGGATCGTCAGTTTTCGCTAAATTCACATATTATCGTTAAAAATATAAAAACACACCGCGCCTGCCACTGTGCGTGCGTCACTGACCCCACAAATACTAATGAAAAAATTCAATGTGTTGGTGCTCATCACGACCCAATACTCCAAAACTTCTTGATTGCTTTAATTTATTCAACAATCAGCCTTTTCGACACCTGGTTCAATTCATATTGTTTTGCAATCAATTTCGTACTTCAATTTTTGTGAAAAACAACGAAATAATTATATATTTCACCGTGAATGACTAGTGTTTCTTAAATAATAACGATGTAACCAATGTAACTCCAATGAGAAGGCCGAATTCTGTCAATTCTATTTTATCTCCTTATTCATTGGATAGGTGCCGGCTCTTTAATTGAAATAGAAGTTACTTTTTTCAATTACATTTTTTCTGTAAGAAAAAATAATTAACATTTTTTCAATTAAAAAAAATCTTTAAATTTTTTTTATTTAATTATACTTGATTGTTGTAAGTTGTAATAATTTTCCACAGACTTTTAGTTTATTGTTTTTTCACTATTTTACAATTAATTTAAACAAACTGTTTAAAAAACATTCATATTGTTATTATTCAACCTAACCTCAAAACACTAAATGTTTATTTTACTCAATTAACTTCATAATATTATATTTAACGTATTTTAAAAACGTTGAAAAACTTAAAATTATATGTCAACTGTAATTGTTATTAATTTGATAAAAATTATTGTAATCTTTTAATTATCAGTTAATAATTCACTGTCAACTGTCAAAGAATTAAGCAAATACTGAAATTTCGCTCCCTTTTTCCCCTTATTTCACGTACAGTGGAAGTAAGAACGAATTAAATTTAAAAGACATGATAATCGACCAATGAGAGCTAAACCCGCCCTCAATTTACTGATGTCAAGTTTTAAGAGTAATAGTGATTTGTCCGCTTGAATTGTACTTCAATTTTATCAACCAATAAAAATTGGTGTTCTGTGAATTGAAATACTTGGCCCAATCAGAAAGCGCCTTTAGTAATACATAACGCTCGATGCATGCAAGTGTGTTGTACTTTGTTGTACCGCCATATTGTGTATGCAACGCGGGTCAGTGGCGCGTGTGTGAGCATTTTATAAGCATTTTGATCAAAAAACAGTGCGTGTGTTTCTAGAAATTGTATGAATTCATAAACCATGGATCCAGCGAAATTAAAAGTAATCGAATTACGATCCGAGCTTTCGAAACGAGGCCTGGATACAAAGGGTAACAAGGCGGTCCTAATCGAGCGGCTTCGCCAGGCGCTAGACGATGAGTCTGGCAATGGTATGTTTTTTTTTAAACACTGATAAATATCGCGTTTAATATTTCCATATGATTATGTTTCATTGTTGAAGACATTTAACAATGTTGTTTTGAATAGTCTCTTTCAATGTGCAAACAATTGTCGTTGATTCAAGCTTTATGGCTTTGCCATGTTAACACTGTTTTGAAATTATCTACAGGGTGATCCATAAAACTAATAATCTGACCTCGTTCATACGAGAAACGTATTGTTTTTTAAATATTGATTTTACAATTTGATTAATTAGTGGATGTTAATTGATTTTTCTTTGCTTTTATTTAATGTTTACAACTTAAGTCGGATAAATTTTTAACTTTTGGTCTAGTCCATTAGTTTGTTAAAGTGGAATTTTTTTTGGAAATTTGTACTAGTTAAACCTTTTTTTTAAATTATGTTAAGAAATTGTCTTTTAATAATTGTAAGTTAATTTTTCTTCTATTGTTAAATTAATTGTTACAAGAGTTTATTCTGAGTTTTTAAAATTTAATTTTAATATTATTAACCTCAAATATTGTTACAATAAACAACTTCTGCTATACTTATCATCATTTAACAAATGTTTATTGGTTTAAAGTTTGAAATTGTTTGTTAAATTAAAATTTGACAAATATTTGTTCATTTGTAATTAAAAATACTAACCTTAAATATTGTTTGTTTTTGTATAAAAAGTTAGTTATAGAGGCTTAATTATCAGTAAACAAATATTTATTAACAATTAATGTGTGTTTACTATTTTTTGTGATTTTAAATTAAAAAATTGTAAGCTTATTTAATTAAATATTTTTTTTAGAACCAAGCGTACAAGTGGAATCGAGTCCAGAGCCAGAAAATGAACGTGAAAAAACGCCAGAACCGTCAAAACCTGCGAAAACGCCGTCAAGGCCAATGCGCAGCACAAGACATCAGGAACAATCGCAGGATATTCAAGATTCACCAGTGCCAAGAACTCCAACACGAGGTGGCACACGATCATCAGCCAGAGCCGTGACTCCTGACAAGAAGCCTCCTGTTAAATCACCTGTTGTCGAAAAAGCACATGAACTGCCAACAATTACAGAAACACCTGGCGAGGAAGGTACGCCACAAAAAGAACCACCTTCAAAGAAAATTGCAAAAAAACAAGAAGAATCAGCTCCAGTAGCCACTGCAGTGGAAAAAAATACTGAAAAAATTAACGTCAGCCCTGAAAAGCATGAGGCACACGTTAGTCCTGTTAAAGTAACACAGGAATTGAAATCAAGTCCCGCTAAAGCATCACAGGAATTGAAAGCAAGTCCTGCGAAAGTAATACAGGAAGTAAAAGCAAGTCCTGTGAAATTATCACAGGAAACAGTAAAAACAAGTCCTGTTAAAGTGTCACAGGAAACAGTGAAAACAAGTCCTGTTAAAGCATCACAGGAATTAAAAGAAAGTCCTGTTAAAATTACACAGGAATCAAAAGTAAGTCCTGATAAAATTACACAGGAATCAAAAGTAAGTCCTGTTAAAATTACACAGGAATCAAAAGTAAGTCCTGTTAAAATTACACAGGAATTAAAAGAAAGTCACGTTAAAGTTTCACAGGAATTAAAGGATAGTCCTGTCAAAGTATTACAAGAAATAAAGGCCAGTCCTGTCAAAACTGCACAAACAACTGTTAGTCCTGTAAAATGTACCGAAACAGTTAAACCTGTACAAGAATCATCACCTGCTAAATCACCAGTTCAAAGTCCAGCTAAAAATCCACCAGTTGCGCTAGAAAGTCCAGTTAAACCTTCAACACAAAGTCCAATCAAATCCCTTCAAGAGAGTTCCGTTAAATCGGAACAAAGTCCAGTAAAATCTGAGACAGAGCACTCGAGTCCTGTGAAACCTTCCGCTGCAAGTCCTGTAAAATCCGAAAAACAAACAACTCCCGTTAAAACGTCACAGGAAATAAAATCAAGTCCCACAAAACAAGAAACTAGCCAAAGCGATGAAAAAAATATTCACGATAATGTTGAGAATTTTACGGAGGACATTGAAATGAAGGACGACGAAGAGGATCCAGGCTGTTACGCACATCTAATTACAAATGAGGAAGAAATGAAAAATTTCGATGAGGAAATGGACAGTTCTGATAAATATGATCACGATGTAAAGGATAAGGACGAGACTAGTGACGAGATTAAAAAAGAGGACGCAAAGGAAGATGAAATTAAAGTGGATCGAAAACGAAAACGTTCACCGAGTCCTAATGATGAATCATCAAAAGTTGCATTTACACCAAGATCCGAGGAGGAACCCGAATTGGAAGCAAGTGCAATGGCTTTGTCTTGGTACGATTCGGATTTAAATCTAGTTATCAAAAAAGAAGGTTTCATCTCAGCAACGCCAATGCACAATGATGGTTTTGGTTATGTGTGGGCCGGTGCACGCGCAACGTATGGTTTTAATAAGGGAAAAATTTTCTACGAAGTAAAAATTACCGACAATTGTCAAATTACCATACAAGATGAGGAGAATTCACATTTATTACGAGCTGGATGGTCAGTAATTGGTACATCAATGCAACTTGGTGAAGAGCCATTAAGTTTTGGTTACGATGGAACTGGTAAAAAATCGACAAATAATGAATTTTCCGATTATGGCGAAAGTTTCAATAAAGATGATATTGTTGGATGTTATCTTGATATGAGTAAAGATGATAATGTTGAAATATTATATACAGTTAATGGAAATAGTTCAGGACCTGCGTTTATTATTCCAAAAACGGAACTTGGCGATAAGGCATTATATCCACATATATTAACGAAAAATTGCACATTTGTTTGTAATTTTGGACAGGAAGATCCTTGGAGTAGTACAATATTGGATGATTTTGTTTATGTTGGAAAGGTCGATGTTAATGATCGTGTTTTAGGACCACAGAGGCCGGAAAAACGTGAGGATTGTGAAATGTTGATGCTTTGTGGTTTACCTGGTTCTGGTAAAACCTATTGGTCGATTAAATACGCTGCGGAGAAACCTGATAAAATGTACAACATTTTGGGAACAAATGCATTAATTGAAAAGATGAAAGTTATGGGATTACCACGTAAAGCGAGTCATCAGGGAAAATGGGAAGTTATCATTGATAAATGCTCGAGGGCTTTAAGTAAATTGGTCGATGTTGCTGCGAGAAGGAGACGTAATTACATTCTCGATCAGGTGAGTTTATCTGGATCGTTTTTACATTGCTTATAGTTTGACAATTTTTTCGATTTTCATCTGAGTAATTAAAAAGATATTAAATTTTACAATATATTTGACTAGTTTTGATTTTTTTCAGAACAACGTATATTTAACAGCTCAAAAGCGTAAAATGCGACACTTCCAAGGTTTCCAGCGAAAAGCAATAGTCATTGTACCTTCGGAAGAGGAATTTCAAACTCGTTCAACCAAACCCGAATATGTGGAGAATAAATCTACTGAAAGTACAATTCAAGAAATGAAAGGTGCGTTAATTTGGAATTATTTGGTATTTAAAGGGTATAAAAATTAAATTAAGGAAAAGAATAATTATTAATTAATATATGATATATCATATTAGATTATTAACTGGAAGGTAATTATAATTTTGTAATTATATGATGAAAATTATTAATGTTTAGCTAACTTTGTGGCCCCAACTGTTGGCGAATCTTTCGACGCTGTTGAATACATTGAACTAGGCGAAGAGGAAGCTAAAAATTTAATTGAAAAATACAATAAAGAAGCTAAGGAAGCCGGATTTGGTCAACAACATGAGAAAAAACGTTCTCGTTTTGAAAAAGCTGATCACCGCGATGGAAGGAGTAGCCGAGACAATCGGGATCGAGATAATCGGCGTTCTGGATGTAAGTGAATTATTTTTTCTTTATATTACTTGTTTTAAATAATTTTAAGTATACTTTTTTTTAGTTTAAATTAATTAATCTTCTTTGTCAAATTAAATAAAATTTTCAATACTTTTTTTTATTGAATTTTGTTTCAATTTTATTTATGAAGGAAGTAAAATAATTTTTGTCGTTTTAGATTCCGATAGAAATCGCAATTCATCTTGGAGAGGTGGAAGTGGTGGCGGAAGTTCCGGTGGAGGATGGAGAGATAGAAATCAACGTGGAGGTCACATGAGATACGGAGGTTCTAATAATTGGAGAGGAGGACGAGGTGGTGGTCCAGGAGGTTCGCAACATAATCGTGGTGATAGAAGAGGAGGCAACGACAGACGTTCTACAAATGATCGCAATCGATCGTCGTCACGTTCCGGAGGTTGGGGTCAATCTGGGTAAGTTTCTTTTGAAACAATAAATTAAAGAAATTTACATCCTTTTTTTTTAATACTTTAAAAATATTAAACTACAATATTTATCTTCGTTTATTAAAAAATTAAGTTTTTAATTAAGAATTCGTAAAAAAAGAACATTTTTTTGTAGTTACCAAGGTTCACAGTCGTCAGGTAGCTGGGGAGGTCAACAGGGAAGTTGGTCAGGAGGTTCAGGATCAGGATGGAATCAAGGTGGAGGCAGTAGCTGGGGTGGTGGCCAACAACAATGGGGAGGAGGCAATTGGAAAGGCTATGGACAGGGTAGTTATGGTCAATCTGGTTATGGCTCGTCAAATTACGGCAATGGAAATTGGGGCAGTTGGAATAACCAACAGCAGTATTACAATCAGCAGTATTGGGGCCAAAATCAACAGAGTGGACAAACGACAACAGCTAGTGGTCAAGCTGTAAGCAAACAATAATAATCCACCATAATATTATTAAAATATTATTTTGCAAGTGGAACAGAAAGTAAGTTATAGATGCCTCTAATTATTCTTGTAACCATATTTACACAACGGCATTCAATACTTTTCTTATATTATTATGAAAGGTGGAAGACCTTTTTTTTTATTTATTATTCTTTTCTTTTTTCAATGTTTTTCTTTAGAATGAGTTTCATAATATCTGGTTACTTCTGTTCTTTGTGATTTTGTTCATTGAAACTAACATTTTGTGCCTTTCCGAATGCTAATAATAATAATGATAATGGTGAATGATTTAAAACGGATCTGTTTCGTCGAAAATATTTCTTTTATATATTTCTATATATTATATAAATGAAATTTGTTTAGTCTTATTATTTCTCATTATTTTTTTTTTGAATCTACAAGAAGTTTATTGTACTTCTTACTCATATAGAATAGTTTTTATCCTATAATAATGTTTTTTTATTATATGAAGTAAATTTTCTCATTTCAATCGAAAAGCAAGTATAATGCTTTTCAATTCTTAATATATAATTCAAAATGTAATTATTGTAAAATAGTTTTGAAAAACATTGTCGTGTGAAATGTTGAATAAGAATTATTCATTTATTAATTGTAAAATGAAAATTGTCAAATAAGCTTTTTCAATGTACACGAAAACATGAATTGTGTGAAAGAAATGAGTGATTTCTTTTTGTATGTCTAAATTGTAATCAGAGTAATTCAGATGAATTTTTTTTCTCTTTTTTTAATAATATTTATTAAATAATATAGATAATTCTGTGCTGTGCAAAAAAGTGTTACAAGATTTGAGGTTTTCTATATTTTCTGTCAAAAAAAAAATGAATCTGTTTTCCAATTTTCTATTCATTATTTGACAGTTACATATAAAGCGTTAACGTTTTTTTTATCCATTATGCATCTGTAATTTAATTGATTCTTTTATATTTAAAAAGATTCAATTAAAACAAAACGTAACGCACTTTACGAACATTCATTAGAGACTATAAAATAAGGACTGACTTATTGGTACATAATTTGCATTTTAAAACGTTGTTTAAGAAAAAGAATCTTTTTTTCTTTTTTTAATCACTTTCAATAAAAATGAGCGAATTGAAGCAAACATACGGCTTCATCATGATTAATTATACAAATAAAATAATTTTAAGAACTGATATTAGGAGAAATAAGGTATGAAAAATTTTTTTGTGTGTAAGCGATATAAAATTGAAGCTTATATAGATAATCTTCAATTATGTGTTACAAAAATATTTTTAAATTAAATCTTAAGTAATAAATACCTAAGCCAAGAAATTGAGAGTTTATTTTTATAATTATTCCATTGTTGGTGAATTTAAATTACAATTGAAAATTTTAAATAACTTTTTAAAGAAGATGAAAATTATATATTTATTTTTTAATTTAAAGCAATAGTATGCATATATTTTTTTAACTAAACTTAAAAGATTGCATTTATTTTGAAATGTTTTATCAATTTTCAAATTAAATTTAAACTTTTTTTTTAGTTTTAATTAAAATTTATTTTTTATTAAAAATTAAAATTTATATGAATTAGAATTTATGTTTTAATTATAAGATTTGAATTTTTTATATCTAATTAAATTTATTTTCAATAAAAGTTTCTTATCAATGTCTAAATTAAATTTTTTTACTTGAATTTCTAAATACAATTATTATACTTTAAAAGTTTTAGTTAAACTCAATCTAAAATTACGTTAACATGTTAAATAAAAATGAATACAAATTTTTACCGTATGTTTGAATTATAATTCTGCTCTTTCGACTCGATTTTATTATTTTAAAGTAGAAATTATATGATATTATTAATGAATTATTCTTAATACCGACTAATAATTAATAATTACAATTTATAAAATTAATTTTTCTCATTTTAGACAAATTCATCGGCTGTTACATCATCTTCGAAGAATTCTGATGACTCGTACTGAAAATAGTAACAGTGGCACACAACGTAAAGTTTTCCTACAAAGGACACTTGATCAACAAAGAAAGTAGGAAAAAATTTCAATTCCAATGTATAATTTACATTATTACAAGTACTAAGTTCGAAAGCACGAATATTGCTTTATCTGTCATCACAGTGACTAATTTACGTACACAAGGACATTCATATTTTTTAGTGTACATTATTAAATAGTCTTAAAAAAAAACAAAAGATTAATAGAAAAACAATCACGATTAAGCTATAATAATATTCGATTGACGATTTTTATATTTAAATATCGACTCGTGTAGAGAAATTATAATAATTTTGTGCAATCAATTTTTCGATTCACATCGTATAAGTTTTTCGTGGAATAATATTTTGTTTGGGATTTTTTTTTTAATTATTAGATATTATGACGCGACCATATGATTGTTTTTCTATTTATTCATTTATATTTACAATTTGATATTGATAAAGAACAAAAAAGTTGTAAAAGAGACAACTTTTTTGAGTCAATCATATTATGAATATAATTATAGCCCGTTAATGTGTACAGTAATATAATACTATAATAATGATAATGATAATGATAATAATCTGTAAAATCTGCTCTGTACAGCTTTGCATTCATAATGTATAATGCATTTGTAAAAACAGAGTAGAAATCTTCTATTTGTAGAAGAAAAATTTATTTTATAAGTTGAATTATTAAGATTTCGTTTGTTTTAGAAATTGATAGATCGTTTAAGTGTAAGTGCTTTAAAATAATTATGTATTTAAAATAAAAAAAAACAAATTTAGGTTTTCAACAACATCATAATGTTTAAGACAGAGAGTTATTAAGAACATTATATATAAGAAATTCTAAATAATGAAAACCGGAATAAAAAGTCGATAGATATATACTAATGCGTGTGTTAGAAATAATGTTTCACACGCTAAATGGCAAATATTTACTTTATTTTGGGCTTAGTGAATCGAGTGTAAATATGTAAAATTACACAATTATCTCATTTTCAAAAAAGAAAAAATATTTTTTTTAATTTCTTTTTAAATAGTGAACTTGGAGTTTTTTTTAATGCGTAACCAATTTCTTCATTTTAAGGACGTGTGTAATAATGTGACTTCACCAATCAAGTCTTCAACAATTTTCCGTCGTTATTTGTTTATAATTAACTTCATAATTGACAATTACTAATTAATTTCAAATTTATTTATTTAAAAATCACTAATTTTGAAACTAACAAAAATAATTAAAAAAATAAAGTAAAATTAGATTTTGCAAATAATTTTTTTTTATTCGATTTTTTTTTCTTTGTTTTTGTGTTAATAAACAAAATATCAAGTTAGTGTAAAAAGAATAAAAATGTTTTGAATGTTCAATGACTCGATTCGCGATGTCATAATTATGTGTCAAATGTCCTTAATTAAAATATCTTATGTAAAGATAAAAAATAGTGATAGATGATAATTCAATAAAATGCGATTAGTGGAGAAATTGGTTTTGAATTATTTACTCTTTTTTTGGTTTTATTATAATTTCTTCTTCTCTGGATAATTATAATATATTTTATTCTTTTCATATAAATATTTTTATTTATGAAATAGAAGCAACTGAAAAAATTAAAATTACAGTGGCATCCAAAAATTTGAATAAAAAAAAAAGAGGTAAAAATGTAGAGATTTTAAAGGTTCTTTTTTTAAAATAACGATTTTTATTTGGATTGAGAAAAAAAGAACGAATTTTTCATAAAAATTAGCATCTATTAAAAAACATTTAACATTATTGCGCCATTAACTAAAACACAAAACACTGCATGACATTCTACTTTTTTTTCATTACAAAGTATAATATTATTTGGTGGCTGTTTTTTTTATTACCTGGTGAAAATTGAATTTTATAATTCAATAAAAATTGTTTCCAATTTGACACTTAGATGAGAGAATTAATTAGATTTAAAGAAATATTTTTTATATTTAAGAATATTTATAAAATCTTATTTATAAAAAACATTTCTTATATTATTTCCGAGTATAATAATAAATATTTCGAATAATTTCGCATTAAAGGAAATATTTATGTGAGAATTGCAAGCTTGATTTCTAAGTCTGGTTTTAATTTTTTTCTTTTATAAGAAACTAAAGAAAACCATTGTCTTTTTTTCTATAAATATATACATACGATACGTGAATAAAACCCCGATTACCTTTAATAATTTTTTGTTTCAATTTATAAAGGAATTAAAAATTAAATTAAATAAACGTTCAATTGCGCTATCAACTCATTGAATCATTTGAGGATGTGTCATTCGAAGGAAAACTTGAATTTAATCTCGATAGGAAATTAAAAACATTGTCATTTTGACCATTTGTCCGATTAAATCCTCGTTGTGTAGGATTCGCATTGATTGGAGGAACAATTTCCATATTTCTCGGTCTTAAATTTGATGATTGATTTTGCACAAGTTGTTCAAGATTATTAACAATATTATTCGTTGTAGGACGTGATTCATGATTATCGACAACAACGTTCATTGAATTATTTCTCACTGGACAAAGACGTAACACACGACTATCAGTTGTATTCGTATCACGATAATATCCTACAATTGAATCAATAGATCTATTTGTAGTGTTGGAATCTAAATTAGATCGTCTTAAATTATTATTTAATGATTGAACAACGTATGGCGAATGTCTATTAAATGGTGATATTCTTCGTGATAATACATTTAAATCTCTTGGATTTGAATTATTAGTATTATTATTCGTTTGGCTAGAAATAGCGTTTGAAATTCTTCTCTGACTATCCAAAACTCGTTCAATACTATTAATACGACGTTGTTGCATTCGCACACGAATATTAATTAATCGATCGACTATTGCTTCTCGAAAACTATTTTGTTGACTTCGATTTCGTAAATCGGGCACTGAACGATTGATGTCTCGTAATATTTCATCAGAATTTGATGATGGTGTTGTATAATTGGGGCTTGAATTTGACAATGAGACAGAAGAAGTTGGCAATGATCTTGAATTTGATTGTCTGACAAGTGAATCGGAATTTCTTGTGTCCACTTGAGTTCTTACGTTACGATGTCGATTTAAATCATCCATCGGGTGTGTGTTTCGATTTAAATTATCCGGCATTGATGATGAATTACTGGAAACTAAATTTAATTTCAATTAGAATTAGTAATTATCCTAAATATTTAGAACATTAGTTTAAAATACTCACGTGTACTGGTCTGTGACAAGAGTCTCGATCGAGAACTCACGTCTGATGAAGTTTCCCTTGAATTGTGATTTAATGACAATCTTCTTCTCATTAATTGTGATCGGCTAATTGCATCGCCTCCAGGTCTAGTCGACGACGTTGAAATATTAGATGAATGGGATCGTAAACCGCTCATCGAATTAGTCACTAGTGGCCTAATTAGAGAATTCAATAAATTCAATGACGATTGTGAATTTTGAGATTGATTTGCCGGTAAATTATTCGTTGTGGAATTAGTGTCGATTGTACCAAGTTGTCGATTACTCGTGTCTCTTTGCTCTTGATTAGTTGTCTGTTGAATATAAAAATGTTGATTCTTAAAAATAGTAATTTAATTAAAATTGAATTTATTGTTTTTTTTTATTACCTGATTCTGGGACGATCTACTCCTGCTGCAAGTTCCTCTTCCTTGCAATGGGATTGCATCGCCTCTATTCGAATTATGTTGTCGTTGATTATCTCTTGGAATTAAATGCTTGTATTTATTTAATTCCGCTTGTGTCAATTCTCTCGCGTCTGATTCAATTCGATAAAGAGGAATTTGACCGTACGGCTTTGGACGCGATAAAATTGGACTCGGTTGCTTCATCATTTGATGCATTTTTTCCTGTAAAAAATACAGAAATATGACTTTTTATTCGAGTAGAAAAAATAAATTTTCCCCTTTTATCGACGTACCTGTAGCGTTATATGTTTAAAGAAATCCGACAATGATTTTTTGCTATTTTCCTTTTTCTCCTCCTTTTTCTCTTCCGCTTCGTCAGTGGCTTCAGTTATTTCAGGAACCACTTGATCCTCCTCATCGATCATTATTGGTGCTCTAAATGTTGCAATTATAGTGTCGAGGGAATCCAAAACTTGTAAAGCAGTCAAACGTTTGCTTGGTTGTAAAACCAATAGATTTCTAATAAGTGAAATTGTTCCATCCGACACTCGTCCGTCACTAAAGTAATTATTAATTAATAATTTCTATAATTGAAATCCTATTTAAATATTTATCTAAATTATTGAAACGCTTACTTTGGAATGTTATAGTTAGCCGCTTTAATTTTACTAAATAATTGAGTTGGACTACTATCGTAAAATGGAAATTGACCAAATAACATTGTAAATAATACAACTCCCAATGCCCACATATCCGAAGGTTTTCCTAAATATGGTTTTCCACATAATACATCAGGCGAAATATAAGCTGGTGAACCTCTTTGATCTTTTAAAAGATCATTTTCACTTGCCAAATGTTTTCCCAGACAAAAATTTGTAATTGTTACCTGCTTAGAGAAATAAATAATTAATAGATAGAATTTTAGTTTAAAAAAAAGTTTATAATAATATGTTACTTGCCTTTCTTGTTTTGCGATTAATGACGAGATTACCAAGTTTAAGATCTCGATGAACAATATTTCTTTTATGTAAACATGCTACAATTCTAACGGTATCGTAAAAAATTAAAAGAGTTTCTTTTTCGGATAATTTTTTCTCCCTTATAACATGATGCTGAAGATTGAGCAATTCTTCATTTCGTGGATTGAAATCGTGTGATGTCAAACAATCCAGAACAAGACACAAGCGACGTTTTAGTTTCCCTGTATAAATATTACCCGAGGCAGTTTTCTTCTCTTCCATGGCACAGTCCTGAAAAAATTATTTTTCAGTATTAACAATTTAATTATTAAAATGTTTATTTAAAAAAATCAAAAGAGAAGAAATTTAGTCTCACTTTAAAAAATCCATGATGATGAACAACACCATCTTGATTTTGAAGTAAACTTAATAATGAAAATTCAGCATGTAGAAGCATTTTTCCCTGACGATCATCCTGAGTTTCATGATCAGACTCATCTTTTAATGTTAAAATTTTGATAGTATAAAATTTATCAGTTCCTATTCGTCTAGCTAAACATTGCACTATACTTTTCACTGGTGATGTTCCAATTAATGGACCAAGTAAATATTGACCAGCTTTTTTAATTGTATTTATTGTCACTGGTGTACCAGGTTTTGGTACATTAACATTCACTTGTTTTTCATTCTTTTCTGATAATGAAGGTTTCGTAAATTTTTCCCAACAACTCGATTCTTTATTTTTCAATTGTTGTTCGGAAGGGGAAAATTTCTCGCCATTATTTGTGTGTAAAGAAACACTTGGTGAATTTTTTTTTATCGTTTGCCACGATAATGATCTTTGGGTACAAGAGAGATGTTCGATGCATCTTCGTTTTGCACGTGGTTGACCACTATCGTCAACGGAACTTGACGATGTTCGACTCTCATTTTCAGTTGTGAGTGTGTTACTTTGAATTTCAGGAGTTTGAATCGATAAATTTATTTCGGAAAACTCCATTCTTGTATTTGCATTTTCACAGTAATTTCCATTTAAATGATGAACGTCTGGATTTTCTCCAGGAAGTGCTTGATTTATTTCGGAATTGGCTGTATTGATGGTTTCGAAATTTCCTGATGATGATGATGATGACGATGATGAGGGTAATTGAACATTTGAATTGTTTACATTCGTGGGAGTCGAACCTACAAAATAAATAAACTAGTTACGATAAAAAAAGAAAACTATTTACATGATGTCATTTTGATTACGGAAACAGTCAACAAGTTGTTGACAATTTTCTAAATTAGCAATTCATGTTTATAAAATTTATGTATAAGATTCATTTCAAAGGAAGAAAAATGAAGAATACATTAGAATACAGTTTAAAAATAATTTAGAATTATCTTCAATTAAATTATATATACCAAAATTAATGATTACATCATAATTTTGTAAATAAGACATAGTATACGTTTTCTCTCAATTATTAACAAAGGGATAAATATTTTTTACAAACGACTATCAAATACATCGTAATATTTATTATTTATTTACCAGGAATCATAAAAATTCTCATAATATAATTTTGACAGCAGAATTGCCTAACATAAATAAATCAAAATTGTATCAGTTGTTTTGGTTTAATTTTCAGTTTATCTCATAATACTATTATTTTTTATTCTGTCACAATAAATAATAAAAATTAAACTTACCCCTAAACATATTAAAAATATATAAACAGATGTTTAATAATTATATTATTTTTATTTAGAATACCACAATTTATAAACTTAGGTTAGGTGACGTTTTACATTATATGTGTGTGTGTGTGTGTAAACACCGCTTAATACGTATAATTTCGTATTTTTACGAAAAGTCTCGTAAAGCAATTTACCTTATTTTATCTAAATTTACGACGGTAAAGTTTCCAATTGGAAACTTTCCGAAAATTGAAGCATTTGAAACTTCTCTTGTCCACATGTGATCCTAACCTAAAAATAGAAAAGATCATTGTTTTTCTATAAAAATAACATTTTTACATATTTATTCCATTGTTTAAAGTATAAATAAACATTTTTGTAAAACTTGTGACATTGTTGTGGAAAATAATAAAAATAAGTTTTTTGTGTTAATTGCAACAAAATAATAAACAAATAGAAATTGATGAATTTCCATAAGTTTAATGAAGGAAGAAACATTGCAAATTAAACAAATGAATCATTTAAATTTAAATGATTCAACATCAGATTTAGATTCAAAATTATCTCAATCTTTAGTAATTATGGATTGTGAAAATAAATTGAATTCAAATACTTCAAATTTAAATAAAACTCCAAAAGGAATTTTAAAGAAATCAAATAATGTTGTTCAGCATGAAACTGGTAGAGATTATTATCAAAACATTCAAGAACAAAATTTAGATTCAGAACCTAGGCCTCATAATGTATGTTGTATAAACTTCTATTTAAAAACAAAAATTTATTTAATTAGAATTAAAGATTAATCAGAAAATTTATTTTTCAGCTTGAAGAATTAGCCCAAGCATTTGATTTAAGTGCTGCAACAATAAAAAGTACCTTTAACTTGGATGACATTGGTGAAAATGACGAAATTTTCTTAATGGAGATCCCGAAATCAGTATGTAAATTAGAAATTTATTTATTATTAAATATTATGTGATTTATTTCAAATAGTTATAATGTAGTAAATAATTTTCATCGCTTAATAAAGTTTTCAAATTTTGTCTTCGTTATATTTTTCATTATTAATGATATAATGAATTTTTGTTTCAGGTAAATCCAGAATTACTCACAGGACAGGTTTTATCTTTCACAGATAAAAGCAAACTGAGAATAGGAGAAAATCGTTATATTGCAACTCATCGAGAATCAAAAGGAAATTTAAGTTGTGTCTTTAATTCAGGAGAGAATTCACAATCCTACAAAACTGGTACTTAATTTCATTTAATAAATTAACTAATTCAAAAATGTAACTATAATTCTATTTCAAATTAGAAAAAAAGAAAATACTTGAAATAATTAATTTTTTTTTAGTGAATATCAAACCTGCTGGAATTATTCAAGTAAGGCAGAAAGTTAATTCTATTCCTAAAGCAAAACCAGAGAGTTATGAACAGAGTAAAATACCTTTACCGCAAAATATTAGAAACAGAGATCCTTTTCATGGAGTAGTTACAACACCTGTAACTAATATTAAAGTTGAAAAAGAATTAAGAAAAAAAAGGTAATGAATATGAACTTAGTTTAATGTATTATAATAATTATTTTTTAATTTTGAATTCTCTAACGAATTCTATGTTTAATTATTTTATCATGTACAATAAATTTCTCAGAGTAAGGCATTTGTATAAAATCTAAAAAATGGGGTTTTAATTAATAATATTTAAGGCATGTCTTATTTATTTTCTAAAAAATTCAAATGAAAATAGATTATAATTTAATATCTATTTAATTTAGTTGAATAAATAAATTTAGGTATTGATATCATTTAGATCTAAATATATAACTTTTAACTACTTTTTTAAAATTAATATTTAAATATTTAGATATAAATTTGAATTTATTATATAATCAGTGTTTATTTACGTTATATTACAAAAATATACATCACATATATACATTTCATTACACTGACATATTTCCTACTTATTATATTAATTGTACTTCAGTATATACTAGTTCTAAATAATTAGTCTTCTTTATTTTATGTCCAAAAAGAAGAGAATTTCTTTATCAAAAAAAAGAAAAGATTAAACAAAACATTATCAAATGTTTAGAAAATAATTTGTTTCTTTTAAATTTCGAGGTATAATTCTAGAAAATAACGAATTCATTAAAATCTGAATTCAAATTGACTGCCAGGAGACTAAATAATTTTTAATATAAAAAAATTATTATTTACATACACAATTTTCTTGAAAAGAAAAAAATAATATGGTTTAATTTTTAAAATGAGCCATAGGATCCTCAACGCGGGAACGTTTAATTTGAAAAGCTTCAACTTCTTCAGCTGTTGGCTCTTTTGCTTCGTACATACTATTGTATGCTCTATTTCTATCTCCCAATTTAATCATTAATTCACCTTCTCTTTGACTTTCTTCTTCTTTTCTTAGAGCTTCTTGAAGTTTACTTTCAGTTTTCTTTTTTTTCTTCATTCGTAATTTTTCTTTACGCTTTCTTTTCTTTTGCAACTTTTTCAACTTATTACTCGCCTTCTTTTCAGTGACAGTCCTTGTGTCAACATCTGAATTTGAATCACTACTATCAGACTCTGATGATGAATCAGAAGAATTATGCTTTTGTTCAATTTCCTTATCATCTTCATTTGCATTTTTCTCATCATATTCAGCAGCTGTTGATGATGATGATGATGCTTGTTGAGTAATTATTTTCTCATTACTTGTGGATTGGACAATTATTGGAACATCAGCTGTCAATTTACCGGACTCGCCGGTACAATAAGAATTTTTGATAAATGAATGACAACATTTGAAACCCCATTTTCCATCACGCCAGAATGAACCCCAAACGGAAGAGTGATTGCCTGGAATAATATCCTCTTCATATTTTGAACGTATCACTTGACGTTCTTGCCCTTTAATTATTTTACCAGCTCGATTATATTCGACATATTCCTCAGTTTGGGCCAATAAAAGAGGTGCTGGTGGCACATCGAGATGTTCCTCACCACCGTATTTTTCAATTACACGATTTTTACTTTTATTCTTTTGCTCGCTACGATTTTTATCGTATTCCTTTTTCAAAAGTTCAAGTTTCGTTGGCTCGGCAAGAAGATGAACGTCCAATCCACGTCCAGAAGCTTCCCAGGCAAAGAGTTGCGCCGTTGCATGTTCCTGTGTGTCTCCAGTAAAACGAGTAAAATTCTCACCTTGATAGTCAACCCTGTGAAAAAATAATTCGTTATAGAAAACAAAAAAAAATTATTTACTTTATCTTGGAATTAGAGAATATTAATTTTAATAAGTGTCCAAAAAAATTAACATTATCTACTCACTCTCTGTCCGTACCAGCGTAAGGATTATCACGCATTGATCTTGTTTTTGGATCATAATAAGCTGAATTGGGATCCAAATTTCGAAGATATTTCGCTGTATCTTCGCGTATTCTCAAATTTCTAACAGTAATACGTTGCTTAGAATCAACTTTAGTTCCAGGCATATCAATTTCATCGACATATTTATCTTCATCTTTATCCGAATCCTGATCATCAATTTCACCAGCATTGAGCTTTTCGGCACGTATTTCTTTTTTTGCCTCCTCAATTTTTTGATATTCCTCGACAATTTCCCGATGCTCAGAGGGATCATAACCGGCCCATCGATCACGTTTTGCATCATAATCAAGTGATAAATCTGGTTGTTGTACATCATCGGAAGCCAATTGTGTTTGTGAAAATTTTGCCAATAATTTTCTTGGCCTCTCAAAACATTCCTTACGTTTATGACCCATAGCACCACAATTTTCACAGGCACCTTTTCGATATTTAACAGCACGATTTGTTTGTTGTTGTTGTCCACGAATATACCAGTCGTCAATACCACTGAATTGCTTTTGACGTTCAGGTTGTGGACGTTGATGCTTTAATGTTGGACCCTGAGCATCAAAGTACCAAGGAGTAGTGCTAATATATTGTGGAATATGAGGATTAATGTCTTTTCCTTCCTCGTCGACAGCAGCCGGTGCAGTACCAGCTTTTCTCGCCTCTTCCAATTCTTTAGCCTTTCGCCAATCATCTCTACTTTTTTTCTTTGGTTCATCCTCGAATTGACTCTTATTTTTTAAAATCTGCGATACAGGTACATTCGCCAAAGGATTAGCCATCTAAAAACATTTTTTTTTCTTTTATAAATTTCACAATCATTAATTGATTAAATAAACAGTTTGTTTTAAAGAAAATATAAAAAAATTAATTAATTAATTACAAGGTATCTAGTGGAACAAAAATAAACAGAAATTAGTGTAAAAACAATAACTTTTCTGTAAGTCAGCCAGAATAATTATTGATAAAAATTAAATAATAATCTCATAAAATAAAATACAAAAAAATTAACTTGAAACAAATATATTTAATGTAAATGCAAGAAAATAATATTTATATGAGAAATAGTGTCAAATACTCACTATTATATTATAGAATTTTATCACTTATGTAGAATTTAATAATTACATTTCTCGTAGCAATACAATTCTGAAATGTGTTAACTTAATAAAATCACATTAAATCAATATAAATTTTATTTATTTATCGTTTAAATGTTTTATATTGACACACAGTACGTATTTATTTCAGCCATTTTGAATAAACCTAGATTCTGGACAAATAGCTGAGGTGGTGTTCTATTTGTCCAGAGGTTGGTAATACTGTCACACCACAACCGGAAGTTAGGAAATACTTCAATTTTCCTACATTTGTCAAAGGTAATATTAGAAAATAAATTTCTAAATTAATCTTAGTTGAATAAAAATTACAAATAATATAGTAAATGATGTAATATTTATTGTATAATTTACAAAATCAATATATTGAATACATTATTCTTGAACAATAACTTGTCCACCAATCAGCAGTTCGGTTACAGACGCCATGTTGATTTCCAACCAATCATAGAGTAGTGAAAGTTGCTACGTTCATACATGTTTATTACTGTCAAAAAATTTTCCGTTGCGAATTGCATCAGTTTGGAACGTGAATTTTTCCTTATTTTTTATAAAAACTTTTTGGTTTTATATGTTTTTTTAGAATTGAAGAATGATAATATATAGATATATGCATACTAAAATATGAAAAAATTATAAAATAAGTACTTTTGTACATTGACATGGCGCACGTGCATCCGGCTTGAAAAGTGCAAAATAAATATTTGTTGGAATCAAAACGATTATTTTTAATAATTAAAGTGAATCTTTTTGTTTCAGTTTTCCCTCGATAATATTGGATGACAAAATGTGACGATCCTCGTAGCAAATACAACAGTTTTGAGATTTTAGAACTCGGTCTTTTTGAAAGGTTAATTTTTCAATTTCCATAATAACCTATTTTGGTTATATGTGAAGATATTCAGTAATTATTAAATTATTTCACTATAATTAGTATTTTTAGCAACTTTTTGGCACATAAATTATTTTGTTTAAAAAATATTATTCTAGCTCTCCTACGGTGTCATCTGAACACGATAATGATCAACAACTGTGATAGTCCTTGCAGCAAATACAACAGCTTTAGGGTTTTAGGCCTCGGTCTTTTTGAAAGGTTAATTTTCAAATTTCCAAAAAAAACCTATTTTGGTTATATATGAAGTGGAAATTTGATTTTTAACCCAAAAAAGGGATTTCCGAGTGCTAATGCCTTAAAATAGTTAGCCTTGGCAGAGGGAATTGACTTCACTGGTGAGTAAAAATTAGTTAAAGAAATTTCTTTGCAATCGCTATTAATTATTCAATTATTTACATGAGCAAAACTTGACGATTATTTTATATCTTTTATTTTCGATCTTTTGTTTATAAAATCGTAACGTGCAATCTGTAATGATTCACATAAAAACTTTTAAAAGAGACGGCAACTCTGAAAATACCAACATAATTACAAAAAAAACACATATCCAATTTTGGTTACATATTTAATTATAGTTTCTTATTAAGAAAAATAACTAATCATCCAGTACAATACTCTTTTTATAAATTACATTGGAAATTTATTTACAAAATATTATTGACAAATTTTATTTATCAATAAATTTATATTTAAAAAATTAATCTGAAAATTTACACACTTCTATTATTTATAAATATAAATTTAATTTATTATTAAATATTTTTATTTCAAAAATTTAATGATGATTGATTTCATTTTTTAACAGAAAAAAAATAATAAATAGTTAATTTTTCCAAACAATGCAATTAAGTTGTAATTACAAATAATATCCTTGGAGACAAGTGCATTAATAATAATAATAATTATACCTATATAATAAAAGTTTAGCATAAAACTTGTTTTTCTCCTTGCGCTAAACGATACAAACAAAATTCCTTTTCTCCTGGATTTTTGTGCAAAAAAAATGTATTTAAAATATGCATTTATAAATAGTTATTGTCATAAATTGATATTTTCATTGATTTAATAATATTGTCTTAAGGAAGTGACAATTTTTTTTTTTTTTTTTTTTAAATATTTATTAACATTTTTTTTTAATTTTGTAAACGATTTTTTTTTCAATAAAAAGAAGAAGAGCGAGAATAAATAAATAGGATATAAATTTTACTGCTCTATTTTTACAATTGAAAAATTGAGATCATATTTTTTATCTTTTATCATTGCTTTATTCATAATATATATATTTTTTTAAATCAAAATTTCGTGTTGAGCGCATTAATTTGATTAATGACTGGAATTAACAGTAAAATGTTATGGTTACGAATACAATGCAAATATTTCACAAAATGATTTGCATTCGTATAACTTTCTCCTGCGCGTTAACCTTGCACAGATAATATCTTGATAAATATCGACCTTCCTACCCTCTTGAGACTTATGTCAATGTCATAATGTATATAATATATATTTTTCTATTATAATTCACATGATGATATGATTAATTCAATTACAATTCAAGATCATATTATCTATTTAACATTTGTATACTCGTTATGATAAGATTAATTTGATATTATTTAATTTTTTTTTAAATTTTATTTTCATATACATATTAACATTACATGCGAGATTATATTATGTCATAATGACAAAAGTTATATTGCATATGATATATTATATACATCATTGTCATTGGGAGAATAATACATATTTTATGCAGCTTACATGATTTAAGTACATTGACTCGTCAGTAATAAAAAAAAATTTCACAGGATAATATGACATTAATATAGAATGTTGACTCACAGTTATTTAAAATAAAATGTGGGTTTTATTGAATCTCATTTTCCTCAATATGACTCAACTATGAATTTGAAAAAGGAATTTTTTTTTAAGTAAAATTGTTTAATTTGTTTTTTTTTTATTTTATAATCATTTACTGTTATTCTTTTTTTCTTTTATAATTATTTATTGTTATTCATTATTATTTTATTTATTATTATTATTATTATTATTATTATTATTATTAAAATTATTTATTATTCTGTCCCATAAAAAAATAATATAAAATAACTTTCGGGAGTAAAATGAAATTAAAATTCTAAATACAAAAATATAATCCAGGAAGGTTCACAAAAACTTTCGCTTGAAAAATAGTCCTGAGGCAAAATAGGATAACTGATTGTGAGGTAAAAGCAAAGACAGTCATATCACCATGACCGTTTGAGATAACGTATAAGATATATGGATAAAGAACTTAGAACCTTATGGGTCGACTATTCATTCTACAATTGCTCTAATAAGAAAGTCTAAACGACTCCTACAATATGGAGGTTACGATTTTTTCCTAGTGCCATTTCCGTCTCAAAGAAAATTCTGATAGGAAAAGAAACTTTACACAATTGTTTTAAAACCGATTTATATATATATATATTTAGTGCTGGTGAAAGTACACATTATATTATTGACTTTTTAGACAATTTTCTAGTAATTTATGACTTTTTTAATACAAGAAAAAAGATTTGCAAAATATTATAATATTTACAAAAAAAAAGAAAGAAAAAAAAATGAACTGATTTTATGATAATTGGAGAGTAAAATTTTAAAGACTCCATTCATTTCATTAGAGAGTAATTTTTATTCTATATTGTTTCAATTGAAGGCTATTAAGTATTTTCATTGTAAATATTTTCAAAGGCGTTGAGTGAATTTAAATTGAGTGTTTATTATTTATTTTTTTTATTGTAAATGAAAATTTTTATTTTTGAAAGTTGCAAACAAAAAAAAAAATACTTTTTAAGTTTGATCATCAATAAAAAATTTATATGTATATATATGTGTGTGATCAATATTGGTGATTGTACGCGTCATAATTCGCACAATACTTTTTTCTGTTGAACTCGATTACAATTATTGTGACAACCCAGTTTACCTTTATTGAGGCGGAGAAAAAATATTGCGTTATACGTATTCGCCCTGAAATATATTGCTGACATGATATGTATGACATTTATCTCATTCTTATACTAGAAAACAATGACATCAAAATTTTTAATAATATCGATCGATATCATCATATGCAAATGAGATTTTTTTTTCATACAAAAATTCATTGCTTTTTATTGTTTTAATTTTTTATTACAAAACACTATTTCAATAAAATTAAAATTTTCATAATTTTATTATAAATCTAAATTATTTAATAATTTATTTAATTGAAATTATTATTAAATTATTAAAAACAATTATTATAAAAAAATAATAATTCAGCAAAATCAACATTTTGATAATTTTATTATAAATTTAATTAAAATTATTCTAAATTTTTTTTTTAACAATTTTTTGTATCAAAAATAAAAAAAAAATAAATAAAATTAAAATTACTTTTAATTTCCGAAACATAAAAAACTTAAAAACTCATAAATTTAATTTATATAATATAAACTAATTTTATCAAAATTTTATTAATCTTAATTTCATTTTAGAGCATTAGTGTGCAAAAAAACGTGATGCATTAAAATTAAAAATAATCACTCGAAATATCTCGGTTTTTAAATGCACACACGCTTCTCATAAAAAATGAAATTCTAAATCTGATTTGAAAATTTGTATTTGCGTTTAGAAATCTGTCCAGGGAGATAAAACTGCAAAGAATATAAGAAATTATTCTTTGTTATAAATATAAAGTCATAGTAGAAATTTATTTTCCTCTGAGATCACAAAGGTATAACAAGTATTTTCGAGACATTTCTTCAGGGCATTCACGAGAACTGTAGTTGTCTTTAAAAAAAAAAAAAAAAAAAACATTTCAAAGTCATTCCCTCACACAATTTATTATTTACACTCACTTCAATTTCATATCACGTTTATGATTTCTTCACTTTTATATCGCTTTTTGTCTTATCATTTTAATTTCTTGAATTTGCAAAAAGAAAGTACGATTCTACTATGTTGCATCAATTTTTTCCCATATGAGTCAGTCTAAATAAATAAATAAAATAATAATAATAATAATATTATTATTATTAATAATAGTAAGTTAAAGATTAATTTAATAATTTTCGATATAAAATTATTTTTATATATTATTTCTATATCTATATAATTATATTTTTAATAGTAAAAAAAAATATTCTTATATAATTTTCTGAGAAAAAGAATTAATTTTGCATGTTTAAAAAATTGTTTCCTACTAAATAAACAATAAGTTTAT